CTTATACCTCCACCCAACACGCAGTGATCTCATGGCCACCCCAGGATAATGACCTGGGACCCAACCCAATTCTTCCGGACGGAAGAAGGCCTTCCCCCGAGTCCCTACGCCCTGCTCATCCTCAACCATCCAATCAACGAGAGAGCATATGATGTTTTACGAAAGCATGGTATTACCACCATATCCTTTACACCCTATATCATATTCCATACAGAAGAATGTATACTGAATAAAAGGATAGCACTAACAACCGTCTGCGCCGACGGTGGCGCCAACCACTTCTACGAGATGATGAAAGCGCGGGGGAGAGAGGATGTAGATGTATGTATACACGCACCATATCCATATCCATGTTCATTGTCCATGCTATACATATGCTCCATACTATACCCATCTATATGCATGCAAATATCCTTCTGGATAGGAAGTATAGTACCACACTACATACACCATCACAATAATCCCTATACAATGAAATAACTAATAATAATAAAATCCAGCACCCCACCACCATAAATCGGGCGACCTCGACTCCATCCACCCAAGACATAAAATTCCCACTACCAGTCCCACGGAGTAAAACGTCATCTACCACCACGACGACTACCAGCACCGGATTTCACCAAAGCGCTGCGGTACATTCGCGCCAACACCAGCGAAATCTTATCCTCATCTGCTGCATCATCCACCCCTGCCCATGACCAAGCAACCACCACCCATCACCAATACAATCAAGATGACAGTCTCTCAATATTAATCCTCGCGGCCTCGGTGGCCGCGTCGACCAGGCATTTTCGCAGATACATCATTTGTATTCTAACTCTACTATTCCCTCCTCCCCCTCCTCTAGTTCTTCTACTGAAGAAGCACGGAAAAGAGGAGAAGGGGCATTATACCTCGTCTCTGAAGAAAGTATCACGTTTATTCTGCATCCGGGGAAGAATGTCATTCGCACGCCGGGGGTTAAGAGGGGTGATATACCATCGTCGTCATCATCTTTTTCGTCGGACTCAGGTGGCATCAAGGAAAGGGAAGAAGGGTATTATCTCCTTGAAGAAAACGTGGGCATCATCCCCCTCTCCGGGATGGAGCGGATCACGACAAAAGGATTTCAGTGGGATGTGGAATCCTGGGCGACGGAGATCGGGGGCCAGATTAGTACGAGTAATCATATCCGGGCGGAGGAGGTGGAGGTTACGGCTGGGGGAGCGGTGTTGTTTACGGTGGAGTTGGCGGGGAGGTTTAAGCGGATTTCTTCTTAGTTATGTCATCTGATTATATGTATTTGTTGGCTGGGTTAGTGGACGGTTGGTATATAGATGTTGTTGGTATTCATTCATCCTAACAGTTAGACTAACATGAACTTATCAAGCAATACTACAGCGCCCCATCGCCATCAAAGCAACATAGCAGTAACAGCAGTCCAGTCCGCTGATACGCCCTGACCCGAAACAAGACAATAGACAACATAGATTGAAGTGACCAAAACGAATCCAAAAGGAAAGAATAATCAATCGACACCTCCACTCGCCTCTCACTCAGACCATCTGTACTCTGTCCACCTACTGCTGCACCAACCTGCAAACTATACATCACTTCCTCAGAATAGCTTCATACAAAGTCCCAATCACTCCAATAGCACACCCCGCCAACGCCCCATTCAACCCCCCGGGAACAGACCCCTCCAACCGATCAATCGTCAACCCCTGGTAAGTGCCCCAAAAGGTAAACTGCTCCGTATACACCAAATACGTGATCACCGCCTTGGCAATATAGAAGCTCAACGGATCAAAGCTCGCATGAACGCCCGAGCGACTGCGACGCGTATGCGTAGAGGACGACCCAGCCTGCGCAGCCTGCAAGCTAAGATTGAAAAAGTACGCGACAGTAAAAGGCAGCGCCGCACTAATCAACGCCCACAGCGAGACAACAGCCCAACAATGCCCCTCGACCAGCACGAAAAGGTCCGGAATGGCGATCTCCAAGTCCGAGACATGCGTCCACGGGGGCATGGGGACGGTGCCCACGTAATTCTTGGGCACAACAGCCCGCAATACGTTCAGGGCTTCGACCGATAATATCAACGTGCCAAAGGCCTTGACACTGCTAAGGTTGGAGCGGAGCGACTCGGTGCGCTCGTGCACACCCGTTTCCGACCACAGTTCGCTAACGGACTTGCCCCACGCGGCTGTCTGGCGATCAATCACGTCGGTAACCACCGCCGGCGAGGGCGGTAGCTCCGACACCAGCGATGACATCGTTGGCGGCTGCACGCCCACCACTTGCCCGGGGGTCTGAGGCTCGGACTCTTCTCTGTGGGAAGTTAGCGAAAATAGTCGCGACAATGCGAGGTTATCATACGTAGGCTCGCGCTCCACCTTGGCCTTCACCTGCCTTCGGCGCACGGATCGAGGAGCTTCATCCGGGGTCGGGGAGGCTTCGACCTTGGGAGCTCTCTTGGTGGGGGAGTAAACGCGCGGGGATTGCGACAGTCGCCGGTAATAATCGGCCAGGCGCGCGTCAGTTTTGAAGATGGACTCGTTGGCTTGGAGATGGCTGTCCAGAGCGGCAGCGAGGTCGGGTTTTGTCAAGTCCTCATAGCTATTGCTTTGTTAGAAGAGAGAGAGAGAGGAGGGGGGTGTGCGCGCGCGGCACGGCGCAACGCCAGTCATCATGGACATGGGGAGCTGCTTACTCCTGGAGGTCAGTGAGCTCCGCCCATTCTGTAAGTTGGGGCTTGCGCAGTTTCTGCAAATAAGGCAATCCGGTAGGCATGACGATTCGCGCGGGTACGGGATCCACGTTAGACCATGCGACCAGTGGCACAAGTGCAAGGGATAAAGATAGGGTGGGTGGGTAATACTAGATATAAGGGTATATAGATAGGGAAGATAGGGAGGGGAGGAAGGGGAGGAAGTAGTGGTAGTAGTGGGAAAGGTAAACAAGGGTAACAAGGTAAACAAGAGACGAACAACAGGGGAGGAGTAGGAGTAGTACCAGTGAGAAGTAACCAAAGCCAGACTAAGAGAGCAGGTGAATCAGAGGCAGTTCAGCGAGCATCTCGTGAGGTCACGGCGGAGGGGAACCAATCCAGGCGGGCAGCTGCTCTGACCGCATCCGGCTTTGTTTACTTTTCCCTTCGCGCCCCTCGGCAACTGGCGGGTTTCTCTTTGTCGATCGCTTTGTTTTGGCTGGTCATCATCTCTGGTTCTTAGTAAACTCTGTCCTCTCTTGAGTGAATAATATACAATGCTTCATTACCAGCCCTTGTCTAATGTCTATCAATGGTAAGTATCCGTACATGAGATGATGTCTTTCCTCCTATACACAAAATGCGCGCCCGAAACCACAACCACCCGAATCATGCAATCATGCTCTCAACATGCGGGGAAAACGACAGGAGGGGAATGGGAATCCAAGAATTAGAACACAAGAGGCCGAAAAGTAAGATAATAAGAAGAAAACAAAGTAAGAAATCATGCCACTCCCGTCCGGTCGCCCTTCCAACATAGCCGTCTATAATGCTCATGCTCATGCTCATGCCCATACTATGCTCATGCTCAAGCTCCGGTTGTGGTGCGCTCTTTTCTTATCTACAGCGGACACAGCAGCCCTGTGTCCCAGACACCCGCCGATGGTAATCTATCGGGTCGCAGATGTCAAATCCTTAATGCAAGTCGCGGAAGCTCACCAAACAGCGGGCTCAGGTCTTCCACCCCCTGGTAAGCTTCCAGTTTCTTCAAAAGGTACTGGTACATAACCAGCATTGTTCCACTCTGAATACTGGTCCACACTCCGCGGGGTCCGACTCCGCGGAACCATCCCGCGATTCCCTCGGTCTGGTAGATCATCTTCAGGCCAGTGAAGAAAGACGAGGTATCCAGACGGGGAGCCCCGGGCGGCGCGACCGACGTCGATGCTCCAGACGTCGAGATGGGTCGCGAGTGTGTGCGCAGGTTGGACGTCGTATGCGATGACGTATGCTGGCGCGGGCTCTCCTTGGTCGACGCAGGCTCACCCGACGACTTGGTCGAGCTCGAGCTTTCCGGGTTCTTCTGCGTCTGGATCCGCGTCTTGACAACGTCCATCGGACAGGTCATAACACCTGCCATTCCACCAGCCGTGACAGCCGTCAAGATCTCCATGGGCAGTCCGATTTCTCGCGAGCCCACCCATTCTTTCGCCAACCGCTGTTCTTGTTCGTAGAAGGCGAACTGCAGGGCCGAGAAGGGAAGGTCACGGTAGATGGTGGCCCGGTATCCGTAGAAGAGGGCGGAGAACCCTTCCTGGCGAACAATCGTGCGTAGAGCATCCGTTGTCGAGCGGTAGTTGTATCCCGAGTTGAAATGCGGGTTGTTGTAGCGTCCCTGCAGCTGCAGTCGCGTCTTCAAAACCTCGGAGGGAACGTATACGATGGAAGCAGCCAAATCAGCGAAGAAACCTAGCAGCAACCGAGTTAGTATCACCCATCGAAGGCGAAGCCACAAAAACACCCTTACCTCCAGACAGGTACGCAATATTGGGGTTAATCCCAGAGTCCAGCATCTTCCGCTTGGTGAACTCATAAACACCAAAGAAGATGACCGTTCCAGGAAAGGACCCGAAGAGCGCCGGCGTAACACCACCATACAGACCACGGAAGAAACCCTCTTGTCGATAGATGGTCGCATACGACGAGGTCATGGAGGTATATTTCGGAGGGAAGTGGGGATCGCCTTGCTGTCGAGTCTTCACCGTATCTAACGAATGCATGAGCATGTCACCGCAGGTACCACCGGTACCTCCAGCCAGCATAGCCTATCGAAGCAACAATGGTCAGAACCAACGATCTGAAGCTATACCGAGTAGTAACGGAGCCTGCGCGAACAGGGTCGCGCTCCACCAGACCAACACAAACATACATGTAGATAGGGAGGCCGAGGCTCCTCCTCGTCCGCAAGGGACGCAGCCTTCTGAGCATTATGGTCGCTGGTTGCGCTTATCGGGCCGGCGGAATGAAAGACATGGTCGCTGCTAGCGGAAGCAACGTTGGGGAACTGAGAGGCCGACGCAGGAGAAGGGGGATCGGTAGACGGTGTCTCTGTCGTCGTGAACAGGCCCAGGACGCGCGAGGTCAAGCTCATTGCAAGAATACCGCAACCCACCGGATCGTGGTGCGGACCAGACCACGGGGGTTGGGATGCGGCGAGCGACTGTGGTTTAACGGAAGGACGCCACCCCGGACAAGAATGGGATGACGGTCGAGAGGAAATGGGCGTAGAGCAAGGCGGACGAAAAGGTGAGTTCGGGGTGAATTACGTTGCCAACACAGGTCGGGAGAGGGGAGTTGTGAGCATCGCACCTCTCGAAGATAAAAAAAGATCTTTCGGGCATCATTGCCAACGTCCGGGAGGCCCCAAAATTTCGGTCGGTTTCCTGTTTTCTCCGCCGTCCGAGTTAGAATGGAAGCCTCAGGCACCCAGTCTCATAAAGCTTCCGCCGGCCAATCCGCCTATCGCTGCGCTGCTTACGCGCTGACTGAGCCGTGGCCAACTGCAACACAATTCCGCGCCTCGATCGGAAGTCTAAATCGGACCCGCCGACGCCGACTCTCTCCAAAGGCTAATTCCGATCCTACGGCTCCATAGTCCCTCATAATCCGGTAGGAAGGCAGAGTACGACAGCCACTAACATTATACTGTCGCATTGGAATATATAACAATGAGACGTATTCAAGGACAGAAAAGAAAAACTTGCTGAGACATTTCACGTAACCTTTCCTCCCGTGTACTCCCCCCACGAGCAATTAGAAATACCATCCCGGATGCTACTCCCAAGTCTCGCTTCGTCTCCCCTCCACTATTCACAACCTTCATTGTTCATCAAAGGGCCGTGCTCCTCAGCCAGGATGATATCGCTGGCCGTGGAGATTCATTACCTGCACATCAGGCTCAATGATCGGTGTCCAGAACAAAACGGCTCCCAAAAACCCAATCATGCACGTAGGATCACGGGGCAGTTCACCAATTCCGTTGTATATCCTGAACGTCCTGAACCACTCCTGATGGCCCTCTATTGGGGCTTCTTCGCAGCACCGGAGCTCATACGGTTGAGATCCGTAGCCTCGTAGGCCTGGCCCACGGCAGCCTTGAAGGACTCCCATCCCTGGCGAACCGCAGGGGGGGTGCTCTGGTGGGAAACCGAAGCATCAACTCTGGCGATGAAGTGGCGGACCGCCTGCTGGACAAAGGAGCTCTGGGAGTATCTGGCGCGGAAGAAGGCCAGGTAGAAGAAGAAGAGCACAAAGCTACCCTTGGAGAAGGTGAGGATGCCCACGGCCAAGCGGAGGAGAAGAGACATCTCCAGCTGAGCGACCAGGTGCATGCTGGCGTCATAGTACTGCTTGACAAACCGTCCAATGGTATCGGCCAAGGGAGAAGGTCTGGCGGCGGGCTTGGGACCGCTAGGAGAAGCAGGAGAGCCGGGGGCAGCACCAGGAGCGGGGCCCTGGATGGTGGGAATCAGGTGGGCACGAGTGTAAGTCGCAACATGGAAGATGGAGTAGACGCTGAAAGGAAGCAGGGCCAACGGGATCTGGCGCGAGTAGAGCCAGACCAGTGCCATACCTGGTTACTGCTTATCAGTATCGTTGTCTTCGCTACTCGATCACACCATCACTTACCGAGGTACTGGACATTTTCATCACCAGCCAGCTTCAGCGCAATGTTGGGAACACTGCCCTGGAGACGGCCACGGGCAATGTGTCCCTTGTAGACCACAATTCCGTATGTCGCGGCAGCGGAAACAAACGCAAGGCGGTAAGCTACCTGCGCCGACGAGGAGTAGTAGTTGAACGTAATGTAGGACAGGACATAGCGGAAGACCGAAAGGAGCAGCGTCACATGCCTATGGTGCGTTAGCGAATATGCTCGGTCCGACCGTTCAAAGCGAGAGCTGGCGAGGGATGGTCCAGTGGGCAAGTCCTGCTGGATAGGCCCAGGACAAGTGATTTCATTGTATGATGAAACGTCGTCAAACAGAACAGGCAGGCTGAAACATGGCGGAGCTATAACCTACCCAGCGAACCAAGCAAATCTAAGTAGAAGAAGAGACCTCGTCAGTACCAGTTGTCAGTTCCGGGACATGCGACACATACTGCAGTGTTTGAGCCAGAGCCTTGAGTCTCTCAGGCAGAGGCAGATTAGCGGGCGGAGCAGGGGCCATTGCGATCGCTTGTCTCGGAAAGTCGGGTGAAGAAGCAGGAATGTAGGGAGGGTCGTTGGCAAGAAGAAAGGGCCGAGATACCGGGGGGGTGTGGAACGGCGGTGCGGCACTGGAGCAGCCAACAGCAATAGATGAGGAGGAAAAGGGAAAAGGAGGAGAAGGAACGAAGAAAGAATATCGGGGAAACTAATTGAGCGGTGGAAGCAGATGGATATCCACTTGGAAGGGAGGCTGGGCGGGGACGGCGGTGGGTTTTGGCCTTGAAGGGAACGGTTTCTGGTGCAGTTGGAGAGGTTGCCAGCTGAGGAAAGCTCCTACTATTACTACTACGTACTACTTTTAGACCTACTCAGCCTAGTCTCGCTCGGTCGACTGGTTCGTTAGAGCATCAGCCGCACTCCCGTGACGTCGCCCGCCCGCAAAATGATGCAACACAACCGTCTGTGGGAAAAGCTTATCGATGTCATGATCCAGACGAGCTCTTCCCGGTGTCGTGTGCATTGTTCTATCCATCCTTCGTCACAAGTATGAGTAATTGCTCGTTGGAGTCCCAAACAGGTCAGTGAACCTATTGTGCGTAGCAAAATCGACTCCTCCGAAGCATCCAGCAATAGCCAAAACAGGAGCGATCACAAAGACGATATTATTATTATGGACGCAACGCCTTCAAACACCTTAAGATCCTCTCTTCCATACGGGTAGAAATGGAGATTAATCGTGAGCCACAAAGCTGCCCCCACCGACTTTTTAGGTGTCGAGCTGGTAGGTGCTGCGTTTGTGCATTGTATGAATGAATACCACTATATCACAGTAGGCACATATCCACCCTACACTCTTCTTACTAGATACGCCCTTGTCGAATGAACTCTGCTGCTGTTGCACCCCGACGACCATAAAAGTATACCTCAACCGAAGCTCCACCAGCTTCGTCTTGCTTTCTTCGCTCATACACTCACGTACACTCTCCCTCTTCCATTATCTTATCGTTCGCTCTTCAATAACACTTCAGATTGACAACTAGCGCACAGAAACAGCAGAGGAACAAGGAAAAACGTCCAGAAAATAAAAAGATGGTCAGGGGTGGGTGATCTCACTAAAATGGTGTAAAGGAGGCAAAAAAAAATAATAAGTGTACCGAAGACGAATAAAAGTAGGAGTACCAGGCCACAACGGGGAAAAGGAAATCGGACGGGAACAAGGTATAGCGTAGGCAAAAGTACATAACAAGAAGCGAATGGTGGACATGAAGCAGTGAATTCCGAACCCAAAGCGGTCTTCCAGGCCGTCACCCCGTGCGTCGTCTTGCAATTCCAGGACCAGAAGCACGGGAGCATCCAGACATTATCACCAAGCTGGATTCAGCTCCGGTGTTCCGGCCATGTCTCCTAGTCAAGCCCCAACTGGTGATTGGTTTTGGCTGAAGAAGAGAAAAGAAATAAAGTAACAGCCATTCTTTTCTTCTGCGGTCCACCCGGTCGATAATAGAGTCATTACTGGAAGCAGATACGAGAAAAGTAGAGGATTGAGGGAGTGTGGGGGTGAGAACAAATAAACACAAGAGAAAAGAGGCGGCGGGTTAGAAAGAGCGTGCGGTCAATCGGGAGTCGTGGAGAAATCAACATAAAACCACCTGAGTGCCTCCGACGACCATCCGTAACCTCGGTGGTCCTTGATGTAATTCCCTTGGCAAAGGCATCGGGGTACCAGTCATGCGTGCGTGCGTCTAACGAAGCGAGAATCCCTTTCGCTTCGTCTCCTTTTCGATTGGCCTCCCACTTTCGAGGCGCGCCTTTTTCTCGTCCAGCTCCAGACGTTGCCGTTCCAGTTGGTCCTTCATCTCGCGATGTCGGGCGTATAGTTCGTCTTCGCTCTGTTTCAGCTTGCTCTCCTTCTCTGCGACCTTCTGTTGGAAGACCATCTTCATCTCTGCCTCCATCTTGGCAAGCTTCTGCTCGTGGAGGGCACGCTCCTCCTCCTGCTTGACAGCAGGGTTGACCTCCTTGAAGACGCTTGGGTCCTGGGCCACACCCATCTGGGTGAGCTTGTCGGAGCGGTAGTTCTCGTACAGAGAGTTGTTGGTGTGTTCCTTGAGCTCCTCCATGTGGGTGCGGATCAGCATCTGGCGCAGCTTGACAAAGTCGCAGTGTTCCTCGTTGTCGACTTCAATGATACCCCAGGGGTAGCTTCTACCGCGCACTTTGCGGCCATCAGGGGTCGTGACCTCGGAGTTGGCTCCAACGACAGCGAACGGGACCTTGGACATGATCTCCTGGTTCTCGGCAATGGTCTCCTCGTCGTCAAGCTCATAGCGGGGGCCTTCGAAGATCTGAATGGAGTGGTGCTGGATATCGGCCAAGATCTGAAGAGTAATTGCATCAGCATACTATACAAAAGAAATGAAATCAGGGGTCAACCTACCCTCTTCTTGAAGTCCACAATCTCCTCGTCCGTCAAGGTGTCAGCCTTGGCGATCACAGGAATCAGGTTGACCTTGGTGTGCAACCTGCGCATGACTTCGATATCGAGGGGCTTCAAGGAGTGGCCAGTGGGCTGGATGAAGTAAACGCAAGCGTGGATGCGGTTGTCGACAATGTTGGTTCTGTTGACCTTGTTCTCGGCCTCCAGGTAGGCATCGTATCTCTGTTCGATGTTCTCCACAATCGGGCGCCACGAGTCGTCATTGTTCACGAAATCACCGAATCCGGGGGTGTCAACCACGGTCAGACGGAGACGGACACCGTTCTCTTCAATATCGGAGCTGATAGATTGGATAGAAACGGTCTTGGGAATAATGTCGTGGCTAGGGCCGGTGCGTTCCTTAGGAGGGTAGAGCGAGGCGTTGAAGAGTGTGTTCACGAGAGTCGACTTTCCGAGACCAGACTCACCTAGCGGCGTATTAGATTAACCACGTTGCCATTGGGAGTGGTTCCGCCCATGTTTAGCACTTACCAACAACCATCACGTTGAAGTTGAATCCCTTGCGGACACTCTTACGGTGCCATTGGTTGGGCAGGTTGGCAAAACCAACGTAGCCGGTCAGCTTCCGGCGAACGACGTTCTTCATATCCGTAGCAGCTTGAGCAACAGCCTTGGGGTCCTTGGAGCTCACGGTCTGAGCGTTTCCCGCGCCCATTGGGTTACTGCGCTCAACGAAGGGCGAACTGGGCTTGCTGCTGGGGGGAGAAGACGAGACGGGCGTGCCATTGGCAACGGGTGCAGGAGGTGGTGTAGCTACATCGTGCGAAGTAGAGTCAGCAACTGGTTCATCATCCTGTCGTTCACTTTCGGAGGACAAGCGATCGAGAGCAGGCGAGAACGAATGGCGCTTCGGTCTCTGCGAGCCCTTCTGGAGGAAACTTGAAGGAGCTTCTGAATCCCCTTGAGAACGACCATCCGCACTTCGGTTCCTGGAACGTGCCATGGTGGTATCACAAAGCGCTAGGATCCCGGGTTTCGGACACGATAGGGAGAATTGGTGGCAGGTAGAGAAAGGGGGGTTTGTCTTTCAAATCGCAGGTTGATGAGGAAAGGAAGGGTACAGGGCGACAAGCTTACCCATTGTGGAAGTTAAGGGTGTGCAGGTGATATGAGAAGCGAGCGTAGAGGAAGCAGGTGGTAGCGAGCGTCGATGAGGAAGTTCCCCTGAACAGGTAGTACCTTCTCCGTTAGCGACAAAGTCCTTGCATCAAGCAGTCAAGGGGACGGTCTGGAAGCAGCAATAGTCGAAGCAGCAACGTGGAGGATAACCGTTTTCCACGTATGGTCCGTGGGGATGCAGAAGAGAAGGGAGGGGGGGGCGGTCCAGAAAATGGAGGAGCCAGGCTGCCTACCAGGATACTATTATTCACCGTAAAAGGGTGAGGTTCAGTTTCAATCAGGAGCAAAGGGGATGGGATAGCTGGAACCCAAGAAGGACCTCAAAAACACAGCTAACAAAGCAGGGTGTGGAGGAGATGATGCGAAACGAAACAGGAAAAAAAACAAAAGTCGGGGAGAAGAAATGAAAAGGACGATGAAAGAGAGAAGTGAATACGTACTGAGGGAACAGGGGAAAGAGGGAGAGCGATTGGGACCTGCGGAGTGATGGGGTGTTTAGTCGTTGGAGCCAGACTGTTTGGTGGCCCTGTCCGAGAAAGAAAGGGGGGGCTCTGGTTTCTACTGCTAAAACTAACCTACTAACGTACTGTATGGGAAGAAGCTAATCAATCCTTAGTCCTGCTGCTCTCTGTCGCCCACTTTTAATTCCCCAATGGATGATTGATTGATTGCATTTATTCCCAGACAGACACCGTTTGGTTTTTGAATACGACACTCTCGTCCTCTCTCTTGGGTTATGGGTTCTTTCCCAGCGTATTGTTTACCCTCCCACACTATCTGGGACCGCGACATTCCGACTTACAACGGCTCCATGGTCATCATTATTTCACTCGGAACTTCATTGCGAACTAATTACCCTGGGGTATTTAACTGTCACTACTTACTGTACTTACCTACCTTAGCAACAGGACCAGTGTTTTTTTTTTTTCTTTTTTATTTCTTTTCTACCGGACATGTCCATAACGAAAAAAGCAATAAGAAAATCCCCCAAAGTCAAACTTAAAGTCCCTCGAGATCTTTTGGACACCACAGGCTTAATAAGAGATGCGAAACAGCAGCCCCCCCGAAGTCAGGTGTACTGCATACTACGACTAAGTCAGTAAGATCGTGGGGAACCAACTAGCCAACCAACCAACCCTGGAGCCATTGACTATCTATCTAATAGAATGCGCATCCGAGAATGGGAGGATTCCATTTTCGGAGGGCGAGATTTGGAGCTGTACAATCAGGAAGGACTGATAAATTGAACTCCTGACCCGTGTGTCCTGCACAGTGCTCAATCTACCGGACCTTGGGTCGACGGCAACCACTCCCAGGTTTGCTTTCCAAGACAGATCCGCTGCGGGTGGGCTATTATTAGGTGGAAGGATGCTTTGTGTGTCCGGTGCGAATCATCTGGGACCTGCAAGTATCATCCGATGGCCATTTATACGCAAGCCCACCCACCTGTCTTGAACGACATACAGATAATCGGGCGTAGAAGCAGCTGGTAGGTAAAGCTAGCTAGCCGGCAGGAAAACTAAAGGTTGCTGGCACCGCACGGGACACGCCTTTCTCTCCTACTAGGCTGTATTTCCATGCGTAACCGCGTAACGGGCGGGACGGAAAGCAGTCAGGGGGGAGGGAAGAATACCACCACTAATACCCATTACGGACACTTGATTCTGTGTGTCGGGATCGGAAAAACACAGTGTGCCGTGTGTTGCAGTCAAGGCTTTTCCTCCTTCAGCCAATCATTGCTGCTTCGCCCAACGGTCTGGAAGCAGGCGTCACACCATGGGAAGTTGCCGGCTGGTTCTAGCACTACTACGAAAGAGATAGGACTATTTGAGCCCAGTCGATCCGAATTTCATTCAATTGAACATCCATCCATCCATCCATCCATCCATCTCTTCAATTTTGGACCCAGATGTTATTACCTCCACTAAAAGGGGTTTGTATAATAAGTACTTCCCTCCTCAAATCAAGATATCACCTACCTACCTACCTGGTAATTACTTACTGACCACCCTTCTATAAATAACCTACTTAAACCCAATGAAACACCACCACCAACCCTGCATCGTCCATGAACCAGACAGAGCAAGGGAGCCAGAAACCCGACTCGGAGTATAAGTCATGAGGCTACACAGATACTTACTTCTACCTACCACCTACCTCCTGCTTCTGCCTCACACATCCCCACCCCCCCTACACCGCACTTCATTATCCGAACCTATCGTAACCTCCCAACATGCAAGACAGGTTTGAAATAACCATGGCAATCGGGCATATTTCGTGGTCCTGCAATCACAAACATACATGCAGCAGTAGTTAGACTACCTACATAACTACTTGCTGCCTTGAGAGTAAATACTATAGTCTTACTTAATTAATGCAGCTCGCTTAACTCCGAACTACCTATGTACTAAAATGAACTCAAACTCGAACTCGAACTCCCAGCAGGGATGTTAAGTACCACAATAATGGCATGTGACATATCCTATATTGAGTCACCATAATGATGGTTGAGGACGATACGAGTCGAATCTGTCCCCACTTACAGAATAGAAGGTTTGGGTTTCTCGTTCTATGATCTACGATCATGGATACTGCTAACGAACATGGATCGTCGTCCTGGTTAGGTACGACGGAGGGCTTATGACATATTATGCGCATGACATGCAGGTGATAATCGATAGTGTTGCCAATAAGCAAACTTAAGTACAGGCGTTTGGTGAGGAGGCGGGGAGTGGATCGAACTTGTTGATTGGATGTGTCTTATTGCTGTGATGTTTTAGATGGAGTAGCTGCGGTGGTGGACGGGATTTCCTAGCTAGCTATGTAAATAGTTACGGAATACTGTGTGCTGTATTGAGTCAACGGTCCTTTGTGTGTGTCATCGTTTAGAGTACATTTACAGATATTCAAAGAATCCAAGTACACAGTGTGAGGCAGAAGGAACTATGGTAAATGATAAGCCCGGTTCATTATGCGAATATCATCATAATAATGGGGGACGCGGTCGGGAAGTATTTTCAAGCAGAAAGGCTTAAGACGTTAAAACTATTTCCCAACCTTCGTCTTCTTCTTTGGCCGCGCTCCCTCCGCCTCTGACATTGGCTCATCCTCATCTTCGTCTTCCCCATCGGATGCATCCCCCATCTCGGCGTCACTTGCACTGCCGCTGCTCTCGTGCGCGGAGTCGTATTCTTCCGCGACGTCAGAATCAGACTCGGCCTCGAAGTCCTCGTCAATGGATTCTTCGTCTTCATCGGCGGAGCCACGATCAGCCCGGACGCCCTCGTCGTCGCTGGAGCCCATGTCGTCATTGTCAAGAGCTGCCGCGATAAGAGCCGAAGCCTAGTCATGGGAGGTTAGTGATGACGAACACACAAATGTATGAGGAATTTGCAAGGTTACACATACATCGTCGGACATTTCGTTCTTAAAGCGGATGTTCTTCGCCTTGAAGAATTCCTCGAGTGGTTGTTGCTCCTCGCTAGGGAATGTTAGCCTCTGCTAAATATTTGAGCGTTATAGAGATCCACATACCGGTTGATGTTGCTGAATTGATGCTCTCCCAGGCCAGCCTTCAAGCTGACTGTGATGTCAAACGTTCTGCTGGCCGAAATGGCACCACCCACCCGAGACATGGTAATGATCGCAATGTTCTCAATCTGAATGTAAGTGGCAGGCTTGGGGACGAAAATCAAGCTCTTATCCAAGAAGTAGAGGAGACCCTCGTTCGCCTTGATGGAGCACTTGACTCCACTGTGACCGTGATGGCTGTAGAATGTCAGTAATCAGAGCATAAGCTAACATGGAATAACGTAACACTGACCTGACAAAGTCCTTCGACGGCATGATGACCTTCTTGCCTGACAGGCCACGGAAGATCTTCGTGACCACCTGGTGGATGGGTTCCTCGTAGCGGGGCTCCAACTTGTCTTTGTAGCGAGTTTCCAAAAGTTCACTGATAGATTGTCAGCTGTATGCGATCAACTGGATCCCTCTGTATGCACTCACTCCGTCATGTTGAGCTCCAAGCTAATCTCCTCGTCCAACTTCAACTGCATAACCAAGAATGGGTAGCGAGTCTGGCCCTGTCGTAGCGGGGGATCAAGTCCCAGAACGATCAATGTATGTGTGTCATCGTTCTTCGGAAGCAGGAAGAACTTCTTGATAGAAGCGTATTGAATCTTGTAATCGTAGGTTTTACCACGTAAACGGAAGGATGATTCGTACATGTCGATATCGAACCGACCTCTGAAAATCCGTTAACACACTGCCATTATATCTTCCGGATAGTACGCACCTGGGTGTAAGATGCAGAACATCCAAGAAAGTAGCGAATGTGTCGCCAGCCACATCTCCAATCTCCGCCTTGTCCATGAGCATCTCGTAGAACAAGTTCGCCGCATTCTGCTCTTCGCCCTCTTCCTCCTCGGCTCCGTTCTCTTCGTCGGCGTTTTCTGCGTTTTCCTCCTTGATACCCTTCTCGGTCTTCACGGCCGTTCCTGGGATGTAGAATCGCATCTCGACAAGCTCGTCCGGACCCGAAGCGGCCTTGCGACCACGGTTCTTCGTGCTACCAGCCGGTTTGGCAGGCTCATTGCCCTCGCCACCAAGAGCAAACTCGACAGCGACTTCGTTCTTTCCGGCAAGGTTCGTGTTCGATATCTCGGAGTAGGGGATTTCGAATGCTGGTCGGTTCTGCACGTTGAATGATAGTTCTGCTTTTGTGAACTCTGCCTTGCCCCAGTTCCATCCTCGAAGAGCGTGCTCTCGGCTCTCCATGTTGATACCATACCAGATCTTGAATGCTTTGCTCAATCGCTCGAAGTCCTAGCATCGACGGGGGCAAAGATTAGACAAACTCTTCTCTCATATTGACATCACTCAGACATATTCCCGGACATACCTCCTGGTCAAAACCATCAAGCTGGATGACTCCCGAGGAACGCGACAAGATTTTCAGCTCATAGCCCTTCGCTGCTCGACTCCATTGGGCTGCGCCGATGTTGCTGCTGTCAAGAGTGAACGTTTCGCCTCCTCCGGAAGGCTTCCATCCTAAGCCAGATTCCGCCAGCTTGCATTTTCCATGCTGCTTCGAGAGGTCGAGATAGATGTTGTCGAAGCTCTCCCTAAAAGAAGAAATTAGCACAGTAGCCGGCGATGATAGGTAAAGAAGCTCACATTTTGGAGGAGCCCTCAAGGGTGTCACAATAAGCGTAGTAGGTATTGAAAGGGTTGAATCAGTTGCTCTCAAAGCGGCGACAAGATTCAGGGGAGGGATAAATGGGTTGAGTGTGCTTTTTGCAGATAAGGTGTTTGGGCTACTTCCGATACTGAGCTCCGATATCCTTTTTCCTGGAGTCTCGCGTTGCGCGCGGCTATGCCTCTTACGCGGTGCGGCAAGTTCCTGGCACCACTTCTGCAGAATTGGATTAGTGCTTGGTGCCTGAGGCATTAATTTATCAACCACGGTCAAAGTCTTGGTTACCTAACCTCAAGTGAGGTAGTTGTAATAGGCGCTCTAGTGATGAATACGTGGGTTACTCAATTCATATGCTGTCTGTTATTTGCCGCCTATGGAGAATACATACCTTGGGAATGGGATGCTGCTTTCTGGCACTGCTAACCTTAGTCTCACTTAACATCCCAAGACAAGGGGACTTCGCGGTAGTCACGGAACTAAGTTGATCTTGTTCATCGCTTGTTGTGTTGATCTTTGTAGTAGAGCACATTTCAGATATTGACATCATCTTGTCGTATGCTTGAGGCTCATTCTGTTCATAGTGGTATGATTTGGAGTGGTACTACTACTCAGATCTATATATATCGGCCCGCACTTCCATTTCAAACCATACCATTACTATGTCTACAAGTACTCAGCTACTACTGAAATGCACCGATATAATTCAAGGGGCGTGTCTCCGCCAAAGGAATCATAAGACAGAAACCTATGACGGACTTGTTATAAAGAGTAACGTTTTAGAAGCCAACGAGTGCCGGATATACGGCTTCAGTTAAGAATACTGCTTTATGTTAACCAATGATTAAACTAATTGTCAACCGCCCCAAATTCCGAGACCAACCATGTGCCCGCAGTGGGGAGCGAGCAGTTGGTATATCTAGGCGCACAAGAGAACTATGTTCAAGGTTTGATTGATGCAACAATATCGATAGACTTCTATTGAACAGCTTGCAGATTAGCGTTCTTTTACTGTATACGTCAGATGATGTGCCGCGAGTAACAGTTAATGACTGGGCAACTCCGAAACCCGTGCCAGTTCATAATCTGAGCACCCATGGCTTCTGGAAGCTTCTGGATACACTGCATTCCTGACTAAGCTTGGGATATCCCTGGTACCTCTGCGCATATGTGGCCTGGGTACTGTGGCTCTATAATAAGTAAGGTGTGCTCTTGCTGTATGTGGAGGGCAATATGAAGAACGAGGGCATAAATTGATCCCGTGGCTAAGGTTTCGCTTTACTGACGTTTCATTCTGACTTGCAGTGTTCTGTACCTTCTCGGGCTACAAATCTTACATATCCATTGCATGCTGGCAAGGACACGGTACTTCTGACTTGTCACTATAGGAGGCCACGATTGCTCTTGGCAAGCATGTACATGGACGAAACTAGCCCTCATCTTTGATAGAGAGCTCCCCGTGTGTATTTATCTTAATGTCTAAAGCAACCTGAAAGCGCACCGAGAAAACAAATAACAACTCACAATATAAATTTCTTGTATTCTATACAAGAAAGGATATTACGAATCCATCCCCGTAGCAAGGAGAAAGGAAGGCCAACCCACACAGCACTGTCTGTGCCGGGTGTGATATCTGGTACTATGCAGAAATCCTGGGGCCTATACGCTAATATCATCTGATGCAGCTTTTGATTATGGTTTAGGAGGAGGAGATGAATACTGTCGGTGAGTGCCCAAGACTCGTGATTCTATACCTGAGAGTATGAGATGGCTGCCTCTGGGCGATAATGAGAAGGAATTGCTCGAGTCTAGTACAGAGCAGATCAAAATAAACACGATGTAGCTGCATGTAGGTGTATCGTGTTAGATAAACCTAATGTAGCTCCTGCTGTGGGCATATAGAGTTAGACTTCCGTAACCTGTTCATGCGACTCTTGCAGCATAGTACACCGCCAGTAAGGACGATTTCAATCAGGTAAAATGCATTGATCCTGAGCTGACGTCTGTGAAATGAGGACCTCTAGACTTCTTATTTCACCCCAGTCTCCCGATGCTGCCCGTCATTACCGTCGTTATGACAGCGTCCAATACTAGGGGTGGGGTGAATGGAGAAGATCACCTAATAATAGGTAATCCCACCGGCTGCAAGGTATCTCTGGTTCGGAGGCGCAAGTAATGATCCTGCGGAGATGATCAAACCAGCCTCTTCCCTGATGGTGGTAGTCTAGAGCCATTCCATTAGCATCCTTTCCAACCTGATCGGAGAGTTGAAGGGTTATGCAAATACCAATAATGATGTGACCACTCGATAGTACAGGAAGTAAATGGCATGAAGCCCGTAATTGAGGGCGCCCCCACTTTGCGGTGGACACAAACTGGCTCCCAAAGTAGCTCCATTCCGTGGCTCATACGCAACAATGGATCCTCTAGCGAGCGAGTAATGTTGCGTTTCACCTTCCCGGGCCGATGAGCATCCCGAGGGCCCCCTCACAAACGAGCCATCGAGAGCTGCTGACTGCGCAGCTGGTGGAACCCGGAACGCAGCCAAATGGGCAATGACCGGGCGGGAAATGATGGTACCTGAAAAACCACTAAGTACTTACCACCGACCAGCATCTTCTGGGAACAAACAAGCCCCTGCCGGCCATGTCACTCGTTCGCTCCATCCAACTTCTTCTCCCAGTCATTCGTTAATTAATTTTCACCTGGCTGTGGCCATTCCTGTACTATCGGGCTATCTCTGCCTGAGATCACATTCGTTCCTTATCTCTTTTTTGCGTTCCTTTCTTTTTTTGTTCTTCTACACCTTCGTCTATTAATGTTTTCTGGGCCCGACCACTCCTTTTCTCGTGTTCCTCGTGCTGGTAGCTCAGCCTCCTATTAGGAAAACCACCGTCTTTCTTTTACTCAATTCTACCCGATCTCTTTCAAACGCCTTACTCGGGTTCAGACAATTTGTTTTCGATTTCAATTCCCTTTCTTCAATCCCTGGCCTTCAACCTTTCTTTGGCCTGTCGTCGCGAACCTAAACAATGAGGGCACCCTCACTGTTTGGGCCTGCGACGGCTGGCTTGTCGACCGTCCTCCGCCTTGGCTATATTCTCCAGTCGACCCCCGCTTACGCACTCACCTTTCAATCCGTCTCAGAGCCCGAGTTAGATCTGTCGCCGTTGGGCCAAATCGCTTTTACAGGAGACTTCGATGCCATTTCCCTCTATCAATACACCGAACAGTCCGACACCGCGACCGAAGATGACAATGCGCAATCCCTTCTCACCCCTCTCCCGAACGGAATTCTCACGTCACTCGAGTCGTCCAACGCCCATATTCGTGCGATGTGCCCCTTCACGAAGAAAGACGGAACATTCTCGGGTATTTTCGTCGGAGGCAACTTCACCCGCCTGGGAGGGGTCGACTCGGAAGGTGTTGCGCTGTACAATCCGGACTCGAACAAGGTGACAGCGTTGTCAGGTTTGTCGGGCTCGGTATCAGCCTTACTTTGCGACCAGGAAACGAACAGTGTTTATGTCGGAGGAAACTTCACATACTACAATATCACGAACGCGGTGGCCTGGGTCGGAGACGAAGGCTGGTTGAACTTGACGTTTGGAGGCCTGAACGGGCCCGTCAACTCGATCATGAAAGATAGCAATGGCCATATCATTTGGGGCGGTTCTTTTGACGGCATCGGCAACTCTACGTCATCCGAGAAAGGACTGCAGGTGATAAACCTCGAGAACGCTACGATTACTTCCGACGCAGAATCATCGACAAGCGGCTATATCAGTCCTCGTAACATCATATGTCAGACGAGCGGCGACGATGGCGAAGGCAAGACTTGGCTATTAGAGGATTATTCCCCAGGGTACTGGCGCGCCATGATGGGATTCGAATATTACCCTACCAAATTTAGACTGTACAACACTCATTATGAGGGACGCGGCACGAAAACGTTCCTGTTCAGGAGACTTCCAGACAATGGAATTATGAACTTGACGTATACCGACCCCAACACCGGCAAGGACGTTCACTGTGATCAGTCTTGCTCCCTTTCAAACAGCACATCGGAGAAGTATCGCGAGTTCCGTTTCGTCAACAGTGTTGGCATGAGTGGATTTCAGATCGAGATCCAGGACTGGTACGGCAAGGGTGCCGGTCTGAACGGGATTGAATTGTTCGAGACCAGTGAGTTATCATCTCTCTTTCCTTATGCTGAACGTGAAATCTAATGGCTATCAGACATTTATGCATACGCCATGAATGCCTTCAACGAACCGACCTGTTCTGGTTCCGATTATCCGTCTAAGTCAACTCGCACGGGGTCGTGGTCTGTCGCACCGTCCGGCCAGAGCTCGTCCGAATACTTGACCACGCAGGTGACAGAATCAAATGCAACCAGTGCTTCAGTAGTGTTCGAACCCGATGTCAAGCTGTCCGGAAACTATTCCATTAAGCTGTACACACCCGGTTGCGAGCAGGATAGCACCTGTGATTCTCGTGGCATCGTCAATGTGACAGTCACTCCTACCAGCGATACCGACGAACCTATCCAGACGCTTATCTACCAAACCAACTTGTATGAAAAGTACGACACCATCTATACCGGCCATGTGGATGCCAGCGATGATTCTTTCCGTCCCCGTGTCAAGTTGACCCCGACATCCGGCCAAGGGAACAATGTCACTGTGGTGGCGTCGCTAGTTCAGTTCGTGGCGAACTCGGTGTCAGGCAATTCGAGTGATAACTTGAATGGCCTATTTGACTACAATCCGTCGAGCGACACCACGAATGTCACGGCTTCCGCGATTGATCAGGCTGGCTTGGCCCTCAAGGATGAAGCTTCCGTTAACGCCCTGGCCAGCCATGATAACGTCGTATATGTCGGTGGTAATTTCTCGAGCTCCAATATCGAGAACATCATGTACTTTGAACAAGACGGCAATGCGACCGCAATGCCTAAGGGTGGATTGAACTCTGAAGTGACTAGCATGGCGGTGCTGGGCGACAACCTCTATGTCGGTGGAAATTTCACTGATACACACGATGGTGGAAACGATGGCCTGAGCTATGTCGCAGCATATTCTTTCGACTCGAAGACGTGGTCAGCATTGGGCGCCGGTGTCAATGGCCCTGTTAACAATGTCCTTGCTGTCAAACTCAACGTTTCTTTGGATCTCAACGAGACGATCGTGGGTGTTAGTGGCCGGTTCGATCAATTGCTACCCTTTGATGACAGCCCGGCGACCAACGTCTCTGGATTTGCCGTCTGGGTTCCTTCGCGCAACAACTGGCTCCAAAATCTCAATGTCAGCCAGTACGAGTTTGCTGGACAATTGTCAGCCTTTGCCGAGGCAGATAATGCAACTATACTTGCCGGTAGTCTCTCTTCCGGTGGTCTTGCTGCAGCCGGCGCTGTTGCTCTCCTCTACGACAACGAGCTGAGTCTGGCGCCTCTGCTGACGGATTTCAACACAAGCGGTCAGACCTACACAGGTCTTTTCGACACGAGCTCGAGCAACAATCTCACGATTCTAGGTGGTCACTTCACTACCAATGCGACTAACGGGTCTGCGATCAATAACCTCGCCATACTTGACGGTAATGCCGCTACCATCCGTGGTCTAGGTGCAGGCATTGACAGCAACTCCACGTTCTTGGCGTTGGCAATCTCGGACAACGTCCTCTACGCAGGTGGAAATGTTTCTGGAAGCGTCAGTGGTTCGGAATTGAATGGTCTGGTGGTTTACAGCATGGAAAACAACACGTTTTCCCAGTACCAGCCACCCCGGTTCCTTGGCGACGATGTGACAGTGAATGCCATTGCTGCCCGCCCTAACTCGAACCACATCTATGTTGCAGGGCAATTTCAGAGCGCGGGGGCTCTGCCCTGCCCGGGTGTTTGCTACTGGGACACGGAAAGCCAGCAGTGGAATAGACCAGGCGCGAGTCTGAACGGAACCGTGCTGGCGCTCAAGTGGCTCAACAGTAAGGAACTGTTGGCAATCGGAGATCTCAATATCGACGGGAACCAGTCCGTAGTCGCGACCTATACGGTCAAGGAACAGAGCTGGCAGACTTTCGAAGGGGCTTCGACCTCTGACATTCCTGGAAGCATCACTGCCTTCACCCCGGCTAACACCGCGGTGTCCAAGTTCTGGCTTGCGGGCGTGTATACCAACGGCTCCAGCTTCCTTGCCGCCTATGACGGATCTAGTTTCAGTTTCGTGAGGAACATGTTCGACGACGAAACAGAGATTCGTGGGCTCGAGGTTCTTCCCATTAACAAGAACCACGATGGTGTGAGCAACCTGAATGATGACCAGATGCTTCTGGTCACTGGTCGGCTCCAGCTCCCGGACTTTGGAAACGCCTCAGCGGCCCTATACAACGGGACAACGATGACACCTTTCATGCTGTCTTCCACATCTGATGGCCAACCGGGCAGCATTGCTCACATGTTTTTCGCGAACTCGAACCCCTACACCAGTGGAGGTATGCACTCTTCCTCAATAATCTGACTATAGTATCGAATTCTAACATTTTAATCAGGAAAGCACCTGTCCAATGGTATCGTCGTCCTTATCTCGTTCTGTTGCGCTCTCGGCTGTGTTTTCTTGATCGTCATAGCCGGTATTATCTTCAACAAGATCCAACGCCGTCGTCAAGGGTACATGCGGGCTCCTCAAGGAGTCGGAATGGACCGTCCTTCCAACATGCGGAGGCTACCTCCGGAGTACCTCTTCAACTCCATCAAGCAACCGAACCCGGGTGCACCAGCCATCTGATTTGGAGGGAGGGGCATTTCGCCTGCCCCGGATGCAATACCTTGCTGAAAAGCATAGAACGACCATATAATTTGACACCATCTACCACCATGTTGATTCCAGTCTCATCTGATACCTCGAACGGCGTTCTTGGGAAACAATCCATCATATACCCGATTCATTTTTATTCTTGATTCATGATGTTTTTCGACCTCCTCGCACTTAGAGGGAGGCTTTTTGTCCCGTTTTCGATTTTATTCTCTGCTTGAAATCTTGCTCATGCCCCATCTGCCTTGTGCATGCACTATATGCGCATGCATGTTCTATCTGGCCCGGACCCACATCCGGGCACCGTCCAGTCCTTGCCATGCTATAGTTGTCGTCGTTGTCGTTGAGTGTGATCTCTTGTTTCAGTACCTATTGTACCATACACTCACACCCTGTGTCTTACAGACCGGTGTGAGACCTGCCTTTCATTCCGCTCATCATCTGAGCAGTGGATGTCATGTTACCGGATGGACATGTACATACATAAGTTAATCCGCGCGAGTCCGCGGTAATGAACAATATTTGTGCATTAACACTTACAATGTCTTAGTCGGGTACTTCTCCCAATTTTTAGGTATTTTAGTAGTCAATAATTCCCCGCCCTGCAGGTGTCATGCAGAGTATAGACTCCTCCATTTCTTCACTAGTAGTTATGTTTACTTCTTCCGGGGATCAATAGAGCGAACTCTGATAAATTTAATCCATGTACTCCGTAAAAATAAGTATCTTACTGTCCCTTTCTGTCTCTCCACTTTTAATTTCCTATTCATGTATTGTATTAATAGCAAGCCTATCATATGATACAGTGGTCTGGTTCAAGGAAACAGAACTCAACGTGATTGGTGGAGGAACGGGAAAGATGATCGAGATGTGCAGGGTTAGACACTTGCTAGTAGTAGTTTATCTAGTTCGATTCTGGAGCCTTATCTACTTTTCATAGGATACTTGGTGAGTATTCTATCTACCTTCACGATGTAAATCATGTCAGTGCGTTATTCGTGTACTGTAGTTAAGTAGCTAAGCGAGAAGAAGGAAGGATGAGGATTGAAAAGCGGGGGGGAAGGGAAGGACGGTGTAAGCAACCCACAGAAGAAGATGATCGCGTGAGGGACAGAGATTTTGAGGGAAAATAGACAAAATACGGAACACTAGAGATCCAAACGAGCAAGCGAGTCGGAGACTGGATACTTCTTAGCTAAGGAGTTGGTATGCACCAACTGATCACATGAGGCACTTTTGGGAATTTTCCCCGCAAGACCACCGGAGCAACAAAACTGCGGGCAACGGAATTGGGCCAGACTCTCCCCCAAGCAGAGAGTATTTGGAGTCTCCAGCTGGAAACTAAACTAGACAGACACTAAAGGCAGGCCCCCCGCTTTTCTTTTTCGCCCGCTTGCTTGCTTTTCTCTTCCCCCGTCCCGCTCTGTTGGTCGATGGGAAAAGGAAAAGGAAAAGGAAGAAAAAAAAGGAAGGGCAGAAAAAGCGGATGCAGTGAGCTTTGAAGCCGTTCTTTTTTCTCTGCGCCTCTCCTTTTCGCGCCTCTTTTGCTGCCTTGCGATCGTCCCCCGTTCAGCCTCCTTCGTCCTCCCTTCCTCTCTCTCGCGCCCTTCCCTCTCTTCTTTTTCCCCAGATAATCGCTCTCCGCCTCGGTTGTCGGGCCTAGTCGACTTTAGGGCGCTTTCGGGCCAGTCTCGCTGGCTGACCTCGACTTGCTCACTTCTCTCTCATTTACCTCACCCAGAGTTGTTGTTATCGTCGGTTCCCCACTGAGCTCTTTCGGATGCTGCAGCTCACCTGCCAGCGGTCCCAACCGGTATGCGATCCCGCACAGGCTGGTACGTCCAACAATAAGACATCACTCCCTCCCCATGTCATATGTGTTGGGAGATCGGGAACACCCGCCCCGACCTCCTAGCAACAATCACCTTGTCCTTCTGCTTCTGGCATGTCAAGACACTGACTGTTGGGCCCTCTGCCACACCTACCGCAGCCTGACGTGTCGTACCCGGAAACTCAAATGTAGGTCTACAACCTTGCTTACCATCCCTGCGCTGGGCGGAGATTACAGATGCTAAGAAAAGGTGCTGGGCTTAGGTGACGAGCAGAAACCCGAATGCTCACAGTGTCGTAAAGGCGGCAGGGTTTGTCGCCCCAGCGAGGGGATCGTTTTCCGCCATCAGCAAAATGCCTCGATGAACAAGGACCTGAGCGATGCCGCCACCGGCCGTGGCACTCTGAAGGGGTTCTACTCGTATAAGAATACCTTTGACAAGGACAGCGTCTGGCTCGACATCCCAAAGCATGGTATGGACAAGGAAACCATCCCCGCTGTGAGTCTTGTTAATCTGACAGGTGCTCTGTCTTCCCTGTAGTCATCTTCGTCGATAACTCGGATCCTTATGCGGAAGACCTTGAAGCTGCCCTGGGAGAGTCCGAAGCCGCCATTTTGGCCGCAAACTCTCATGCGCGTGCTTGGAGTGCTCAGCGCACGTCGTCCGCTGACGGCGAGACCCATGGCTTGGAGACCCTTTCCACGGTGGCAACCACCGATCGCCTTTCTTATCCTCCCTTGAGCATTGATCAACAGTCCATCCCGTCAACAGACCACAGCATACCTTATAATAATGTCCCATCTACAGCATCTTCAGATACTCCAAGCCAGATGCGCGGCGTCATCGCACCTCAGATCTCTCCCTCTCTCTCGATGTCCTCCAACAATACCAATAATAATAATATCAACTTTCTTCTTAATCCTTCACAATCACGGTCTCCGCCTGTGGATCCCAGTCTTCAGCATGCACCAGAGCGTAGGAGCTCATCATTGACCGCCAGGCCACCAGTGCCGCGAGCCACGTCGGCCGATTCGAAGTCGGAGGCACCCGCAGAAACGGACCACGAGGTTGCATATCTCCTAAGACATTTTTCAGAGGCACCAGGACTTTGGTAGGTCACCAAACCACCACCACCACCCGGCTGAACATTGTTGATGAGATGGATGATAGGATGGATCTGTTCGATTTAGGAACCTATTTCGCATCGTCCGTGCCGGTTAGAGCTCTCCGAAATCCATTGTTGAAATACGCCGCCTGTGCGTATGCTGCGAAGCAACTGGGTCGTGTTAAGGGAACACAGGTGACAACCGGTGGTGTCTATTCTAGGCATCTCTCCAACAACGTAGATTGGTCCTGGTCTGGCGCCAAGTATTATGAAAAGGCCATCCAACTCCTAATGAAAGAATTGCAACCTGATAAAGGACCTCCGCCGCTGAGTACCCCAGAGGCGTTTGGGCAGTGGCAGGCTGCTGAGTTGTGCGAAGACCAAGAAAACCCTCGCAAACGCCGCCGCCGTTACTCGGACAGTCGGTTCTCGAAAGGGGTCCATTCAGATGAAATTCTTGCTGCCACAGCCATACTATCTGTATATGAGTTTTTAGATGCCACAGGTCCGGCGTGGAATCGTCACCTGAGCGGCGTGAAGTCCTTGTTGGATGTAGCGGAGGTAGGAATGATGCCAGTCGAACAGCGCCATTCCCCCGGGGGAACAGCGTTGCAACAAACCAAGGTTCCGGGGCTCTCGAAGGCGAGAAAGGCGACCTTCTGGAACTTTGCACGACAAGACTACCTAGCTGCCTGTGAGTGCATTTATGACCTGCAACAAACGCCCTTAAATGTGCTAACTGGGTTTCATAGTCATCAATGAGAGCCAGACAAGGTTGAACACGGACGATCTGGTTTTGTGGACTGAGGCGGGTCTCCAAATCGACAACATGGGCTTTGTACGCTCCAGTAATGCGACTGCAATAGGCTATCCAGACGGCGAAGAACCCATAAAGGAAGATCTGGTTTCGAATGGTCTCGTTTGGATTCTCTCAAAGATCGTTAACTTTATCAATGCCGGTGATAACGTCCAGTTGAACCACCCTGGCTCGATGGGGACGGGTCCTCTGGGCCTTTCGCAGCAGGTTTTGCTGGAGCGATGGTACCGCCTGGAAGCTGAGCTCGATGCCTGGTACAATGGACTTCCTGAGACGTTCCAGCCGTGTGCCCGGGTTGACCTGTCCAAATTACCTCAGAATAAGGATAACCCGAAGTTTGACGCTGGCTCGCTGTCCGAAATATGGTATAGCTTACCCCTGTGCTCCTCGGCGATGCAGCATTATCATATGGCTCGTATCCTCCTTCTCATAAATAAGCCACATGAGTCCACCAGCAGAAGGAGCACCATCGCTGATAGGCTTAATTCATATCGCTCGATCGAGAGTGATATTCGATTTCACAGCCGGGAAATTGTGGGGATTGCGTTGGCTTGTCCAACTGGCGCGGTCCGCATCAATTCCCTCCAGCCGCTGTTTGTTAGTGGTCAGTGCCTGACGGAACCCGGAGAACGGCGGACAGTCCTTGCTTTGCTTCATGGAATCGAAGCGGAACTCGGCTGGGCAACCGAGTATCGTGTAAACCAGTTGCTCAGAGAATGGGGCTGGAACGAGGATGCTGCGAATGCGAGCGTCCCGTGAGGCCTCAAGAGGCAAGACAATGCCATGAGTAATGGTGCTCGTCTCTGAGACATTCGTTTCAACGAGTCATGAGCCACACCTAAGCATACTTGCTTCAGGCCTCGCGATTCTCGCCATCACCGTCCATTCAAGTGGAACGAGTCATTTCAAGTCGACGCCAGCGGGACTTGTAAATATGCGGACCTGCTACATCGACCGCCGCCTAGGACCTGAGACATAATCCAGCCTGTCCCAGGCAGGCCAACCCGGAATGGGTTGCATATATGCGCATCTGTTTTGAGAATCAGCCTGTTGATTTTGAATGATACCAATGTGTTTTGTGATTTGAACCCATACCGTTGTACCCAGAAACTGCATGAATGCTAATGCCAGGGAGGAGGCAAGAACGAGGCACCTCTCACTCACTCACTATTATGACTTCTTTTCACATCGTGGATATGTGTTTTCCTTCTTGTATCATGAGTCTGTTTCCAAGCCACATGTTGGCGGTTAGTACGGAGTAGCCATCGAGACAATATGACCCCTCTAGCCCATAAGGACACAGCCAACCTAGGAGTAGGAAGACGGGAAGAAGCTCGAGCGCAGAGGTGGGCAGCAGAAGAAAAGTAGCTAAGAAAGAGGCCGAGGGCCCTGAGCCTCGAAATTTGCGCCTGGAAATTGATTCGCCGTCAGACACTCGGCAGAGTTGCCTGCACCTTCCACATCTGGCAGCTGCAACATCGGGATGCACGTGCCGCCGTTCAGCTTCCCGCCTCCTGATGGAGTCGCTCACTTTCCTCTTCCCACCACGGAGAACTAAGCTCTCCCTCTCCATCACACCACATCATTGGAGCTTCATACCCCTCGAAAACTGGAGATCGAAAACAACCGACCATCCATCCACACCTCCCTTCCATCGACTCATTGTCCTATCAGGTGTGGATTTTCCTTGTGAAATTCTGCACACATATCGGCAACACCTTCAGGCCTGTTAATGATCGCCATGGTCGTCACGGAAGGTTAACCGACCATCAATTTGCCCCGCGACCCTCTTCCTTTTTTTTTGCTCTTAATTCAAAGTTCAGACATCTATCGTCATTATCGTGAATGATCTTCGCCTTGTTCCTTGGTTGCGTTGCGGCCCTTGCCCACTTTTTCCCCTCTTCCTCCTCCGCTCATCATCTTGCAGATATACAAGGGAATGGTGTGTGGAACAGGTACACACACTCTCTCTTCAGTTCCGACCATCCCGATTCTCACCGCAACCCTATTGATCTACTTTCCGTACCCCATACTACACAACAAGGTAGAAATTATTCTTGTTGATATCGTCACGATTTAACTACCAAGTAAGAAGTATCACCGATTATACCCGGCGTGCAGGAAAGTGTTCCGACCGGCTAAGCTAGCTGGCTTGGTTTCCTGTGTCAAGGGGACTGATTCGCTGGCCTTGTGGAGTAGGTTGTTGGCTTAGTGTAGCTTAGTTGTTGGCCTACTTGCCTTACTAGATAGTCACGGAGTAGATACCTTGTATTCTGCAGCAGTTGCGATATTAATTTGATTCTGCACACTTTAACCTACGGAGTACTTGCTCAGTAGACCAAGTAGTAATCCTGGTTGCTTTCGGGTGAGCGGGATGATCCTAATAGTTACCGGTGCCCTACCTATCCTTAATTATCTGAACTCAATACTGTAGACTATAACCTAACCAACTACTCCGTACCTACTCCGTAATCCATTTTTTTTTAGTAATCAGATTCCCCAGACGGGAAATCCATACCTCCCGTAGATATCCACATCCGAATCTGTCGGATAGCCCAAAGGAGTAATCCGAAGCAGTAGAACTACTAGTAGTAATAGTAGGCATCTTGCAACACCATCCAAGAATTCAAGGAGCCGGTTCGGGTTGCTTGATGATCCTTGGTGGGTTCGGTTTGTTTTATGTGGTGAGGGGTAAATGCAAGTACCTGAGACAGTGTGGTGGTTGTGTTGTCACGTGTATTATGGGAATCAACTATAGATACGACTTAGTACTTACTGTTTGCCTTTGGGGGAACTTGGTTGATGTTGTTTCATTTGGGACTTTTGACTGTGTACTGAGACATTGTAGATTGGTCCACACTTCTGCTGCAGTCGAGTTTCTTTTCTGGTTTTGGGTTGCGATCAGTGGTAAAGAGGATGGGTATAGCATGTAGCATGGATTTGAATTGGAGTATGGTCTATGATGATATTAAGTAAGAGTGGTGGTATTATACAGGGTATAAAAATCATTTCTTGCGAAGTCGCTTCGACATCCTCCTTGCCGTCGTTGTCTGTGAAGCTTGTACGATGGTGTTCAGCTTCTCCTTCTCTTTAGTTTCATCTTCTTCTTCAGCCTTCACCCCCTCCTCATCTATAGGTCTCTTGGTAGGCACCGCAATCGCCGTGGTGACCTTTGTCTCCACCTCGACACCCTCCTTGTCATCCTTCTCTACCTTCACATCCACCTTCTTCGACGTAGTAGCAGCCAATCGATCCGAAAAGGTCCTCAGATCAGCCGTGAACAGCACACTATGCGCCCACCCCGCTTCTTTGCCCCAGAGCTTGCGGAAATGGTTTCCCACGGCATCATAAGTAACCTTCGTCAGGGACTTATTACCGCCCTTTCCAAACTTGTAGTCTCTCTGCGCGATTTGCCAGACTAAACCAAAGACCATTAGCAATCAAATGTGACGTGACAAAGGGATCAACCGAGGTAACAAACCATGCGTATCAACCGGAACTGCCTCCCCCCATCCCAGCCCCATCAAGCACACGCAATCAGCGACCTTCGGCCCAACCCCCTGCAACTCAAGCAACTTCTCATGCGCCTCCCGATACCCTTCCCTCCCCTCGGGCTTCATCTCACCCGCCGGTGCAGCTTCCACCCCCCAAGCCGGACACTCTGGGTTACATAACGAATCCAACCACCCGCTCTCTCGCTCCTTGGCCACCATCACTGCCGTCTGATAGATATATTTGGCACGGTACCCGAACCCCAAGCCGCGCAGCTTACCCTCCACGTCGTGAGCGGTGAGGGCATCCGGAGCCGGGAAACCGTGATAGGCGCGGCCATTGATGGACGCAATGAAGGGACCGTAGTTTAGGCAGAGCTTCTCGACCATCTGCGAGATGCGCGCGATATTGTTGTTGCTGCTGCAGATGAAGGAGATCAGGGCTTCCCAGGCATCTTGGCGCAGGATGCGGATGCCGGTGAATTGGGGGGCTTTCTTGCGGAAATTGGGGTCTTGGGCGGACCATTCGGTGTAGAGGGAGGTGAGGTTGGCGGAGAGGTTGAAGTAGTGGGTTAGGAGGGAGAGGGTGGTGTCGTCGTCATTTATTTTGGGTTTGGGGGATTGGGCAGTGCGGTAGGTTCGGTAGTAGAGGTGAGTTGGGTCTTGTTTTAGAGAGAGGAGACGGCCGTGGAGAACGCAGCGCCATTCGTCTGTGTCGGGGACATTGTGCCATCTGTAGATGATAGGGAGTTTGGTTAGATTGCATGTCCGGGGAAGACGAGGAGGGTACTTGCGGTTATTGTTACCGAAAAGATTGACCACAGCGGAGGGTGGTGTTGATGCAGAGCTCATTGAGGCTCACCGGCAACTTGCGCCATTCTGAAAAGGCGCCGACAGTCATTACGCGAGTGAATTGAGAATCTATCAGCTTGTCGCTGAGGAAGGCGAATGTGAAAGCACGATAAATCGCGATAAGTTGATTCTGCCAGGAAGATTGGCCGACACAGCAGGCGGTCAGGTCTCCGCAGACAGGAGGCGCTAACCAATTCGGACGGGAGTGTCGCCGATCGTCACCTGCGAGTTTTCCCTCCAGCGCAGCTCTTACTTTCTCCCCGATCACCCTGCTTCTATCCTTCGCTGCCATCGAGCTTGCCTTTCGGAGTGTCTGATCGTGTTGGATCTCTCTCCGACAATTATTCGCTGTCCATCCCTTTCGTCACGTGGAACGGGAAAATAAGAGCCAAAGAAATATTGCCGGAGCTTTCAGTATGAACGGCGATACGTACACGTCCAGAGGTAAGCTTTATCGTCACCATACCATTTACTACCGAGTAGGGTGGCTAACAGAAATGTCGCAGATTCTGGTCGCCCTAGAGACTACTACGTGAGTGAAATTCGACCAAGGGTGTGTCTGCCCCGAGCTAACTGGAGTGAAACGATAGCGCGAAGAGCGTCGCGAGCGCGGCGGCGACAGAGCAGAGAGAGGAGAGAGAAGACGGTCGAGGTCCCCCCACTACAGTTCCAGAAGCTCCCGACGCGAATATGAGGTAGATTCGTATTCGTCCAGCCGCGACTACCGCGCCAGAGAACGCGAGGACCGTTATTCTAGCCGCAGAGATGACCGGGAATGGGATCGGGATCGCGGCGACCGCGGTGATCGCGGTGATCGCCGGCGCAGAGAGTACGAAGATAGACCTTCCCGCCGCGAAAGGGGAGACAGAGATCTGTTCGAGGATAGACCCCGACGGGAAGGCAGGGGTGACCGCGAGCGTGAGCGTGGGGAGCGTGGAGAGCGTGGAGGGCGTGGAGATCGCGAACGCGGCGAGCGAGGGGAGCGGAGACGGAGTGCGTCGCCTCCTCGAAAGAGAGAGGCCACACCCGACCTCACAGATATCGTGTCGGTATTGGATCGGAAACGCCGCTTGACGCAGTGGGATATCAAGCCTCCGGGCTATGAGAATGTTACTGCTGAGCAGGCGAAGCTGTCAGGTAAGACAAATTGTCTTTTCGTTTGGTATCTTTGTAGTCTAATGTGATCTTTCACAGGCATGTTCCCTCTCCCTGGAGCCCCCCGACAGCAGCCGATGGACCCCAGCCGCCTTCAAGCGTTCATGAACCAGCCCGCAGGTGGCAACGCGGACACGTCTACCCTCAAGCCTTCCAACTCTCGCCAGGCCAAGCGTCTCTTTGTCTACAACATTCCCGAAAGTGTCACCGGCGAGACCCTTTTGGCCTTCTTCAACGTCCAACTCAACGGTCTCAATGTTATCCAGAGTGTGGATCCTTGTATCTCGGCCCAGGTGGCCCAAGACCATACTTTCGCCCTGCTCGAATTCAAGTCGCCCAATGACGCTACGGTTGCACTTGCTTTCGACGGAATAGCGATGGAAGAACACGAAGCTGCTGGCAACGGTGCCGCTAATGGTGCCGCTCAGGGCTTGGAAGTTCGGCGACCCAAGGATTACATTGTCCCTGGTGGAGCAGAGCAGGAATACCAGGAAGGCGTGCTGCTGAACGAGGTGCCTGACTCTCCCAACAAGATCTGCGTGTCCAACATTCCCCACTACATCCCCGAAGAGCCGGTAACAATGCTTCTGAAGTCGTTCGGAGAACTTAAGTCGTTTGTTTTGGTGAAGGACAGTTCTACGGAGGAGTCTAGGGTAGGTTCCTATCAAATGACTCCTGGAAGTGTACTGACATGAATAGGGCATTGCGTTCTGCGAGTATGCCGATCCTTCGGCAACAACCATCGCGGTGGAAGGCCTCAATGGAATGGAGCTGGGTGACAGGCACCTCAAGGTTGTGCGCGCCAGTATCGGAATGACCCAGGCTGCAGGCCTTGACATGGGCGTCAATGCGATGTCGATGTTCGCCAAGACGACATCCCAGGACCTGGAGACCAGCCGCGTCCTGCAGTTGCTCAACATGGTGACACCGGAGGAGTTGATGGACCCTGAAGATTATGACGGTAAGTGTGCCTGTATGCATGAGTAGGAGCCTATTGACTAACAGAACAGAAATCTGCGATGACGTACGCGACGAATGCTCCAAGTACGGCACTGTAGTTGAGCTGAAGGTACCCCGTCCGACAGGCGGCAGCCGACAGTCGCCGGGTGTGGGCAAGATTTTCGTCAAGTTTGACACGGTCGAATCGACAACGAATGCTTTGAAGGCGCTTGCGGGCAGGAAGTTCTCGGACCGGACTGTGGTTACAACCTACTTTTCCGAGGTGAGATCCTCCATCCTGATTCAGAAATCTGGCTTAGACTTGCTAACTTGTGCAGGAAAACTTCGACGTCAACGCATGGTAATGTAGGATGGACGGTCTATACACATATCCCATTTTTTTCTTTATATCATCTATCTCCTTTGTTCTCTTTCATTGCCACTTCATGACGCGTAATTGATCAAGGCCGACGATGCCTGGGGCAGGCGATGCAACAATCTGTACTGGAAGTTAAGTTATGGAGAAGGGGGAGTGAGACAGTGGTGGTTGAGATGCGCTCTCTAGTACTGTAGGGGTTACGATGTACCATAGCGAATGAACTTGGATCTTGACATGCTTCAGGTAGATGCTTTGGAGGTACTTGAATACCACCGTAAATCATTCGAAACATTCGCATACCACACGTTTACGAGTTCGCAGTAAACCATCACATCACCATCACTATCACAACCTCGAGTTCATCTAATAGTGTCTAGTATACATCTACCGTAAAATTAAGCATGCTGGACCAGAATTTGTGGCGAAGCTGAAGTGGCAGGAGTATGTAGAAGGCATGTCAGATAGTCTTTCATAGGCTTTCGATGACTGGCTATCTGTGCTAGACAGGAATTCGGGGGCGAAGCTGAAGTGACAAGGGATAGAAGGCAGGTTGCACAACGTACAAAGATATTTCAATGATTGGATATTAGAACATGCTTGTTCATATTCATATAGATACAGTAAATTTCATCGTCTTGGATTTATTGCATAAGGAGGTAGTTATTCAACCACCAACCATGTACTAACTGCAAGCCAACTCTCTCGATTTCATTGCAGTCTCTACCACTTCAACTGATACTTGACTTGAATAAGCCGTGACTATATACTACCAGCCAAGATGGTCTGACTAGCACACGCTTTTGTTTTTCTAGTACTTTTCGCTGCCATGTACCTTGGCAGATACCCCAATGGTATTAACCCCATGCCACACAAATTTATTATACTCATTACTGATGGTATATGCGGGTTACTCTTTACAAAGACATATACTTTACGAGGGAGACAGTGTCCAAATCCCCGCGGATCATATAGGCTGCTATAGTCTCGACCAGTTCCAGCCCGACTTCTTTGTAAGTCAACCTTGCGAGATATATAACCCGCTAAGAATAAAGAACAACATGTCTAATCTTAAGAAGGACGGACCAGTTTTCGTCTATCAAGATTCCTGATGGTGTGCGATGCTATCTGATGGAGTAAGTTTTGAAGAATTAATAATCTTGCAAGTAAGCTAACATAGACAAGGATGGGAATGTGAGAGTATCTTCATCGCCTCTTAAACAAAAGTTTTTTAATGCTCCTGGACTGGACAGTCTTTATAACATTGATTTTAATGATAAGTTGGAGAAGACTGATTGTTTCAATATTCCTGAGGGGGTGCAGAACGCCTAAGGTCACGGTCGATGAGTCCGGGTGCTTGTTTCTGTAACTGGTTGCTTGGGTATATAGTCTGACCGTCACGGTGATGCTTGAGCTGTGGTTTTGGCTGGTTGATTCGAGATTGTATTAGATAGTTTGATGGCTTGTCCCAAAATCGTGAGATGAAAGTATACTAGTGTCACATATCAATAGAGTGTCAGTCTGATGTGTCAGTCTGATTATATGTTTGCTATGGTTCGTGGATATAACCGGGTATAAACTGATTAGTATGTGTCGATAAATTGGATTACCAGGTAGGTTAATAAATCAGCCTTCTATATACCCCGGAGTACTAGCTACTGAGGTATATATACTTACACTTGGTAAGTACATTGTTCAGCTACAGTTATTAACCTATAACTAAGCAACCTTCAAATTACTAGTCACCTATTGCTCTATCTATTACCGTTTCGAACCCACCCCCATTATTATTTCTCATCATGCAATAAGCCCGGAATGAACTACTTGCCGAACCTAATCACATATTCTGCTACCACTAGTAAGTAAGTGTTCCTCGGCACATACATTCCCCATGCATGCATGCAGACAGACAGAAGCCGAGGACGATCGATTTCCTAGTAGATTGAACCCCGAGTGATGATCACTCTGGTCCCCGATGGTTTAGCCTAGTTCTAGCAGACAACTGGGTAATTATTTACTTAGTAGTTACCCGCCGTTGACCCCACATGTTGATATAGGAACGGGTGAGCAGTTATCAATCAGTGAGGTATACACATAGTACTAGCATCTCTCTCACATTCACACACACAGAGCGAGTCCGCTCGCGAGCTCGGAAATCCTATACGAGTTATATTCAAAAATACTCATATGCCCAATTACTCGCACTAGAAACATATCACGATAGTAAAATGACAGACAAGCACTACTCACGCCACAACCAGCCGTCAACTCGATCAAAATACCCCATGGATCACTACTAAAATGCCTCGTGGTAGTTCTGCTCCTCGGCTTTAATATACAGTAGGTCTGTGCGTCAGGGAAGGATCTCTCATCCGTTACTACCCTTCTGCTCGGCTGGAACGGAGTACTCCGCCTAGTTAGTAGTAGTAGAATAGAGAATAGTCTGGCCCAATTCCCCGCGGGGGAAATACTATATCGAGCGTTATTAAGTAAAGTATAGGTAGGTAGGTAAGCAGTAAGCACGGTGTGTCTGTTTACTACTAGTATTTCTCCTAATTTATAAAAGATGCATGCGATAATTATGCCGGTGGTAGTGGGATACATTATAGCCACTCGAAACTAAAGGACTGAAATCAATCTACGTTCCACAGAATACTTTGCCCAACTACCAACTAAATATTGACAGAGATAAGTGAATACGAAAAGTAGAACCCCCCCCAAAAAAAATGACAGACAATAGACCCCCTGTAGGCTCCTCGCACGGGGATGACTACCTATTCGGTTTAGTATATACCAGGGTGTAGTAACTATCCCTCCATCCATCCCATCCATCCATCCGATGCCGGACTGCCGTGCCATCAACTTTGCAAACTCCGAGGACATCAATCGATAGTGTGCTTGGGCATCCTGCCTCGGCTTTCATAAAACCCAATTCCAATTCTAACGTTTATGTCCGTGCCAGCACCCTAAAACAAGAAACAGATACTCTAAGCCTCGGTGATCCATTGATCAAGTGAAAGAAAGCATGCATATGCAAAGCAAGGGTTAGTGAACAGACAGAACTAAAGCAGAGAAGATAGTCCAGTCATGTCACTGAGCAATACTACCTGCCTGGGAAAAAAGAGGGGGAAAGAGGCCAAGAGATTCTAGACTGGAGAAAAGAAAAGAAACAGAATCTAGTGGGTGGCGGTTAGTGGTGGTGCCATCTCCGCTTGTTGCTGACAGGAATCAGCATTAGAATTAGCCCTGCGGGGGTTCATGATGTAACTAAATTGCTAAATTGGTTAGTAGCAATTAGCCGAAGGATCCTTTCATTATGCTGACTGCCAGACCGTTGGGGGAAGTTAAGGTTTGGGGGTGGACCGGGGTGTTTAGTATCTTGTACTACTGTGGTGGTATTGAAGGAATGGAGGATTAATTTCCCACTCACTGTAAGATTCATAGAAATTGAATTGATTTGGAGTATTGATGTAGGTGTAATGATTTTCCTCTTCTTTTCTTCTAGTTATGGTATTGTATACATACAAACATAAATGCATCAGGGTATATAAAAATCTCAAATCCAGCCGTAAACAGTTAGTAGTTTCACATCATATCACACAATAATAAGATAGAGCAGCTCTTCCATGCGCCCCATGCTAACAAAAGAACCCTTTCACAAAACGCCAATCCCACTGCATCATATGGACCCCTTCTGTGAATGGCTCTTAGCAAACGTAGACTCGGGATCCCATTCGCGCTCCGGGCCACCCTGCGTCGCACTAGGCGGTCTCGGGGACGAGAAACTCATCGAAGGCCGTACATAGCGAGCCTCACGACCATAGTGCTGTCCTCCCGTCGCCTCCGGACTACGGGCGCCCATCGTCCGTGCGGGACTCGGGGACCGCACAACCGGTTCAGGGGTCTTATACGGAGGTAGACTGGAGCCCGAGATCATCTCGTAGGCGCGAGGATCTGGCGTCCTGCGCGCATCAACGGAGACGAACTCATGAGGCGGAGTAACGCGGGCTCTGAAGAACTCGGCCCAGCCGGCGAAGATAGAGGGACGGGCGTAGAGAACGAAGTTCCAGAAGCCGACCGTCGCGAGAAGAATAAGGACAGCGAGGAGGGTAGCTTTGTTCGGGACGATGGCTTCAGCTTCACTGGCGCATTTCTGGATGTTGCCTTGAGTTTCGACGAGACAGGTGAGCCAGGGGGTGGCGAGTTTCATATTAGCGACGGTGCTGGTAAGATGGTTATCCATTTTGATGAAGACGACGGCGAAGAAGATGACGTTGGTGAGGATGACGAGGACTAGGGCGACGCCGCGCCATTGGAGTTGTAGGACACGGCGGATGCGGCGGTAGGCTTGACGGGCAGTGACGGTGCGGACGCTGGCGGAGTAGGAGGGGAGACCGGAGCTGGTGGTGGAGGTTTCCTCGTCGTAGAGGGATTTGACGTAGACGTAGATGCAGTAGACGAGGGTGGCGAATTGGAGGAAGAGGGATGCTCCGCCGAAGGCGACGACAGGCGCCCAGTAGTCCTTGTTGCTGTCGTGGACGTTGATGTGGCAGACGGTGCCGAAGCGGTAGGATACCCCCGTGAGGATTAGCATCTCGGTCAGGCCGACGGCCGGGATACCCCAGCCTAGGATGAGTGCGGTCCACATGAATTTCGGACCGAGCATGATTTCCCAGCAGACTTGGAGGTGGAAGGCGAGTGTGCGGATGAAGCCTGCAGTCGCTGGTTAGTGGTTGTTGGTACTGGTGGTGGATGGTATAGAGGCATACTAAATGTGACGCATACCCAGCCCCCGAGGAGGAGGAGGGCTCCGGTCCAGGCACACGACAGATCGGTATGCATGTCATTGGGGGTGATATGGTTGTAGCATTGCTCTGGCTTGACTCCTAGCGGGATGATGAAGGCGATCTGGGGTTGAGTCAGAATACAGGCCAGTTGATTCACGATTGCAATCGACCCACCTCCATACAGCAGATTCCCAGGGTGAAGCAAATGCTCAGATAATGACGATGCGTCCATTTCGGAGGCAGCACGGCGAATGATACCAGGAGGAAGATGCACAGGGGCAATGTAGCGACACCAAGCCAACTAGCGACCTTGGTTTGGGAGATCAATTCTAGTTGCGACAACGTCCTTGTTAGCTAGGGCTTTTCGGACAATGAGGATGCGTGTGGCAGACATACTTTCGCCATAGGTCCATTCTGCCAATGGACAGGGCAGACAGCAAGAAACCTTGCCATGCTCTGTAGTAAGCTCCTCACAAAACCGTCCATCAATGACTGCGACGAAGCACACGATCAGTTTTGTCACCGGCAATTGAGCCCACACTAGCAAGGGATAGCGTACATCCACCTTTCGATGGGAACAATGACTCCTGGAGGAAAGGAGTCGGACAGTATCCAGACAATGTTTCGTTGGCCATGGTGCCAGCCTTGACGGCTCTCAGAAATCTTCGTGAATGCGCGACGGATGCGATAGAGGCCCGGCGAGGGTCATGTCCTGTCCTCGGGGGCAAACGAGTGGCGGGATTATCAATAATACTAGTGACTGTGCCCGGGCGTGGTTACCCCGCGCAAGAGGCTCACGGCCGTGGAACGATTGATATCGATCGAACAGACAGCCTTGCAATTTATCGCATGATACTAGTAGGAAGAGAGGGGAGCAAGAGGCAGGTGGGCGCGGACGGACATGGGGGGGTGGGAAGGCTGATCAGATATACTAACTACGAGCTAGGGCAATGGATGATGTACCGACGACCACAAAGATGGTACCGTCTGGGTACCACTAGAGGATTGGTTGGGGCAATGGCTATGGATTGATAGGAGGTCCGTTCACCACAAGAGCAACGCAGCGTCGCCATGGCCTGGGACGCCGCTCATTGGGTTCTGACGGCAGATGGTGGGATTCCCCTCCATGGCTCGGAACGGCGAGAGAGACAAGAGAGAGTGAGAGAGAGACTACGGTAAGGTTTGGCACCAGGGGGCATTGATGGACTTGGTGGAGTCGCTGCAATTCATTTGACTGGCTTCGTGCGACAACGCCCGTTCTGGGCAAAGAGAGACAGAAGGAGCGAGTCCCAAGCTCCGTCGGGGTTCCAATTGACTGGGAGGCGCAGAGGAGAGGCAGCAAAGAAAATGATAATAATAAAATAAAATAAATAATAAAATAAAAGAGAAAGCGAGCTAGTGAGTAGCACCGGGGACCAGGTGGAATCAGGAGAGGAAGGAAACGAACGAACGAGAGGCCTGGGAGACGGTGGTAGGGCAAAGACGAGGAGCGGGGAATCAGATGCCGTCGCCGCGGACGTTGGTTGACTTGGGTTGACACTGGCTTCCTTCTAACGCCTTTGGGTAAATTGGCGATGCCTGCATCTGCATGGATCGGAGTACTTTCGCCTTGCTGATTGGCCCTCAAGTACCGACTGGACCTGCTCCGTAGGTTTTTTGCTGGGCATTTTCGTTCAGATACTGCTTCTAAAACGGAGTCGGCTACTTAGTTACTGCTAGAGAAGGGGAGACCCACCGAGCTATCCATGGATCTCTCGGGGGAGGCTTCCATAAATTCTCTTAGTGATGAGATAGTGAGCCATTGATTCCTCTTGGGGTATGAAACTCACTAGTCTAGGCTATCTTTTTTTGAGGAGGAGAAGGAAGTCATCCTAAACGTTAGTGACAAGTTATCCGCAGCCTCTTCCTGCGTGGGCTGGATTAGGGCATAATAACAATCCCATTATTTATTTAGTACTTCGCTGCAATATTGGGGATCTGTCTGTGTCCCCATTTTCGGGCAGGAGTTGCTCTACAAAAATTCTCATATCTCGTATAGTTATGGAGCACATCACATCGCCCCTCCTGCAGGCTGATCATTGGCCAATGTCAAGTTTTATTTCCCACAATCCCCTCGGAAGGTAAAATTTAGGATTTCTTGGACTAACCAGCAGCCTGCAGTCAAAAAAACTCAGCAACCATCCGCGTACCTTACAGCGACTGCCTCCTGCTTAGTGCGTCGGCGGGCTTCGTATGCAGGCAGGGGTTGAAGGCACTACGATCAACCTCCACCATACCCGAACCAGCAATCTTCCCAGCCACTAGAAGACTCATCCTGGTCGTTTTGAGTTCGACCGGCTTCGCACGAGTGTCGCGACGATTACTGCCTGTATCCATCGTAGTCTGCAGTAACCCTTGCCCCTGGGTGAGGGTCGACCTGCCACAAGACTCTAAACTCCCCATAGCCGGGTTCTGACTCGAAAGTGGTTCCATGGGAGTTGAATGGTCTTTTTATGGTCACGTTACATAACTCCCAGGATTTCCTCTGTGCTATGTTGCAGTTATCTGGGTTTGTTTTTTTATCTCCTTTACCCCCTGGTCTCTCAATCTTGAGCCATCTGATACCTGGTGTGACTCAGAATAAAGCAGATCTCCCATTTGTGCCCCTGACTGTGTACAGAAAAGGGTGCCACTGACTTCAGGAACAAATAGATCCACTCCTGAACACAATCATCAGCCAAGTAAAGTACCTTTGTAACCCAGCATGTAAGCACAGGAGGAGTACAACACTCGATAACGACGCCTCCGTCGCACTTCCATCGTCATCGGCACGGGCATCAATTGCAACAACCCCTCCACATACCGTGTAATCTAGATCGATGCCCCAGTGGCGGCGGGCGCATGGACCATCAATTTACTCCAGCAATACTACTACATCGTGCCGCGGCCGCTGCGAGGACTTGTGCCCATCGCCATCCAGGTTACATCCTCGAACTGCCTGCCACACGGACCTGCATCCAGTATGCCGTAGCCGCATATCGGGTCTAGTTAGTGCCATGTCCATCATCCCCAACAAACCCTCATCGCTAAGTAGATAGTGTAGATATCCCGTTGCGCGGGAATTTGCCGCGGGTGTGATCGACATCAACCTTTTTGTTCGTCAAGCATCCACGGTAGTTGAAGCCTACCGAAGGACGTTCCCTTGACCGGCTAAATTTAGGGCATCCACTCCGGCACCCGAAGCCTGGGATACTAGTTTAGTCTCCCCTTCTTACTTGCCAGGAGCTTTTGCGTGATCCAGTATGGATTGACGTTCCTCTAGTCTTAATCTGGCTGATAGAAGTGGGTTTTGCATATCCGGACTGATCGACTTCGGTAGTAGTTAGCTATCATTTTCCTCTAGGAAAACCTTGGTAACTTTGGAAACTGGGTAGCGAAAGCCGTAGACCAAGCTTTTTGAGAGGGGGGCATGCTTATTTTCCTCATTGGGTAACGTGGACAGAGAGCAAGCCAGCTGTTCGATGGGGGACTGGGTATATACCGATCTTCAATCTTCAGTGGACATCTACGGGCGGGTGCTAGATTTTTTCGATGCCGATTTCGATTCCGCTTCTTCCCACAATCCCATTGTTCGCCCAGCCTCTGGTTGCAACAATCCAGGCTCTAAATTCATGTATCCCAAACACCGACCAAAGAGATAGATAGTCAGCCAGCTGGCTTACTCCATAGTCTGTTGAGTGTTGACATCACGACATGACAGACGTAACCACACGTGGAGAACTTCTATAAATGGTTCTGGCAATAATAGGAATAAACATTTGCCACATTCTCTTCGCGGCTTCTAGTCCAGGTTACTAAACTTTGCTGCATTGCAAAGTTGTTTTGTTCAAATTCCCACTTGGATGGGGCCTTTTGCGACATTTTGTTTCGCTTGGCTTTTTGGACCTCTACCCGAGTCTAGAATAGCTACTAAGTTTGTACGTTTGTAGACTGATGAAACTGTCAGTCTCCAGTTATGGCTCCATCCCGTCTTCGGCATTGCTCCCGCGCATCCCGCAATACGAAATGTTAACTAAACCGATACTAAGTTATAGCTCAACCAAACTTGCTCGGGAAGTATCCAGATGCCTTTACAGACGCCATAGACGCCTCGCGTCGAAGCTCCGTCGTAGAACTTTCCATCCGAAGTATCCTTCGTGTCCTTCTATGCGGGTTCCTGATCAGACTTTTCCCCTTTGGGTTTCTGCTCTTGAATTCAAATTCAACTCGAAATATGTCGCTGCCTTGGTGGACTTGCATCAGGGATTACTGGTCCATTGTAGACTAGTTGGCAGGACCATGCAGGTGTGGTAGCTATTACAACTTATGGAGTATAATCCAGGATTTCTTTTGGACCGAAAGAGTACCTTCACATTTGTGTAGTAGCAGGAAAAGCAATGCGTCGCTAGTGAAACACCTAAAGTACATGCTATGGAAAATTTTGATAGTTAGTCCCTAACCCCCCTAATGACTTTGATAGGGTGGTGTACTAACGAGGCGATCAGCCACTAGTATTGACAGACAAGCAATAAGCAACAAACAAGACGAGATGCACGCAAGAAAACATCATCCCTTTGTCCTCCCTACGCAGACAATCAATTCAAATTCTCCTATTTGCTTATTGCATTCGGATACTAGTTCCCCCGAAGGAATCCAATAGTATGCCGGGACTACCTGCATCACAGCTCATAGGGCTGTCAGAACAAATGCTCGCCGCCAAGCCAGTGGAGAGGAGACGAATGAGCAAGAAAATTGAGGGGAATCAATCATCCAACTGGTCGCCCGTTGGATAGAGATCCTTTCAGCTATCTGTGATGTCTGTGCTATCTTGTCCACTCTCGAGTCCTGACTGGTGTACCTTTTGTATACGGTCAGCTTTACTAGCGGGGCAAATCAGCTGGCAGAACAGCAGCGACCGTGAAATCCCACCAGATCATGCGATGAAGGCAAGACAAGACAAGGCACATCGGTACTCGGATGCCGTAAGAGGCAATTCTCACTCTTGCCTTTCCAGCATATCCTGGCGATCCATCTCAGATCCCGTTCGAAAATATCCAGCCCGTGCAACTGCGCCATCAGTTGTGGATGAAGGAGGCAAGCCAATCAGTCGCTGCCATCCAGCAGTGACGGTGACGGGGGCGATCATAGGCTCATCGCCAGCTGACCGGTCACAACGCGTGGAGACCGACGCTCGTTCACAGTACCCACGATCTCACCTCTCCGTCTTGTGCTATAGGGTCTCTCTGTGCTGAATGGTGATACATACGGGGCTCAGCTTGCCCTCGCACTTGCCCCTCTCCGCGCCGTGCCTGGTGTCGGTCGCACTCGACCGTCTGATTTGGCGATCCCTGAGATCAGACGTCAACGCACAGCTCGTGGAGTGGTCGAATCATGGACCTGGACTCGCTTGTCCCGACTACTTGATCGCTTCCAAGTTTATCGTCCCTGGTCTAGACTTGCCCTTTCTCCAGTTTACTTACGGTGTACAGAGTATAGTGTTACTGATCTCGCACGACACGGAAGATGACCGCTTCGATCGTACAAACAAAGTACGATTCGATCTTATTCTCCTCGTTTCGAATACAAACGTGTTGCTGATACCCACTTGCCTACTTTCATGCTCCACAAATAGCGGTCACATCAGGCTGGGCTGAGTGAAGCCTGTCAGTGACTCAATTACCACTACCAACGGCTGATGTCCACAGCCCACAGCTACTGCTGCTGCAATATGACACATCGCCAATCCACAACGCGGGTTTACATGCCCAATCGAATGGCCCTCCTGGCTTCAAACGCGACGCATACAGATGCACACACAAATATTATCGTGTAGCTAGTTGGCCTAGGGCTTACGCTTACGCGGGTCTACTGTTGTTTCGGAGTTGCTGCACGAGGCAGACAGCCAGATAGACAGACAAATCGCGTCACGATCATCTATCTATCTACGGGATGTTCGCAGCAACACTCGATGCACGTCGCAGAGCAGACCATGGTTCGTCCGTCCTGCACACTGCGCGTCCATGTAAGTTGATTTGAAATCTTGATCGGCAAATCAGACTATGTCGTTGAATTTCCCACGACGTCGCGCGGGACTCGCTGGAAATGCAAGAACGAGCCTGATAACAGCAAGTGGGGAGAAAATTGTGATGCTGAAGCGGATGCACGAGGGTGTCTTGGACAGATAGCCATGCCTCGTTGCGGTGTGATACTGCTTGCATTTGCTTGATATCGATGGAGATGTGCAGCTACGATGACTGTGTCTGTTGGACGATTGATGATGGGCTTTGCAACTCCACGGGGCTGCGTGGTTCGTTACGAAGTCCTTTGCGATCGTGAAAATGGCTCATTGTATAGAATGCATTGCCGATGATTCGCAGTCGTCTTAAGAGTCCAAAGTTGCAACATGACTGTACTTTGTGAAAGAACATGGTCATATATCCCGTCGGTTACACGCACAAGTCGACGTATAGCCCGTCCTTTGCATCCTTAAAACAGCTACGATATGGTGTCAAGCGACTCCACAATCTACCCAGGCAGGAAAATAGATTTAAAATCAGTTCAACAGTAGAAACATTCATTGCTATATGCGCTATAAAATCCCATCTCTCAATATCATGTTATCCTCAAGTTGATGTTTGGCAAACCTATTCTTGATGCGAGTCAGCACAATGCGTTTCAACTCCCATGACATAACATTTCGAGGAATGAATGGATATCAGAAGTCCATTTAGATCATCGAGATAGACCGAAGCCTACCTCTGACATAAGAGGTACCAGAAAAATAAAAAATATGGTGTGTTTCATCCTGTAAAGCAGAGGGCGGAAATATAGGGAGTGAAAACTAACCTTATAGCCAGACCTGCCAGCAACATAGCTGTAGTATTAGTCGAACATCATACAGTGAAATCAGAAATAACAGAGCACCATAAACTCTGAAGTAGCTCGCTGGCATACCACAAGAAACAAAAACCAGCGACGCAAAAGGAAGTCAAAACGGAGCTTAAAAAGGTGCAGGAAGAAAAAATAAGCGAACCGCTCCCACATCACATGACCTTATCCACACAATCCAGCAATTCTGGAACCCACGTGACCCACGATCGCAAAATCCACCCACGAAAAATAACCTCTCCTCCTTCGGACTTTTCGATACTCGACCAGCTCACTCACAACCCGTTCGACAACCACCCCGTCAACACCACCAATCAATCAAAATGGGTCGCCTTCACTCTAAGGGAAAGGGCATTTCGTCCTCCGCTCTCCCCTACTCTCGCACTCCCCCGAGCTGGTTCAAGGCTTCCACCGAGCAGGTTGTTGAGCAGATCTGCAAGCTCGCCAAGAAGGGTGCTACCCCCTCCCAGATCGGTGTTGTCCTCCGTGACAGCCACGGTGTTGCCCAGGTCAAGACTGTCACTGGTAAGATTCCCCTCTCAATTCTCAAATTGCGGGGATGGGAAGGATACTAATATGTGGATGAATAGGTAACAAGATCCTCCGTATCTTGAAGTCCAACGGTACGACATCACCGACATGTTCCCTTTCACCAGTCGCACCAGTTATATGAGCATGTTGTGGATGTGAATATGGCAGCGGAAATGGAACGGGCGCGAGCAGAGAAGCAGCTAGGACCCGGATTGGAATATATCCGGCGATTCGATTTCAGCCAGGTTACGGGTTGATTGATGGACAACGATACGATATATTCTGCACGGAAGTGAAGAAGAAGAAAGAGAACGAGGTTGAAACATACCCGGAATCGTTCTCGACTCTGTATCGACATGGACACTCGCAAACCTACAGCCAATCGCAATCGCAGCAATCCCGGCGCTCTCTGCCTCCCACCATCTCTACACCGCACACCCACAACATGTCCATAAAACTGGAGGGCACCAGAAGCAAAACATCAACACCAACTCGCAGAAATGCAGTTGGATGTTGGAAGTTTCTTTTGCGTGATCCCGTATGCCTCTGCTTGGTCAAACCACAGGCTGACAGAGTGATCTTTTAAACAGGCCTTGCCCCCGAGCTCCCCGAGGACCTGTACCACCTCATCAAGAAGGTATGCCGTTCCCCATTTATCTGAAAACACGATGGTAGATTGAATACTAACAAACTGGTATTAGGCCGTCGCCGTCCGCAAGCACCTTGAGCGTAACCGCAAGGACAAGGACAGCAAGTTCCGCCTGATTCTCATCGAGTCTCGTATCCACCGTCTGTCTCGTTACTACAAGTCCGTCGGTGTCCTCCCCCCCACCTGGCGTTACGAGTCCGCCACTGCTTCCACCCTCGTTGCTTAAGCGCGTGCACTTCTTGTGCTGGGGTAGAAGTTGTTGTGGTGAAGTGGCTGTCGTCGTGGTTGATTGGGTCGATCTGGAAGGGTTGATTCGCGATAGTCATGAAATAAAATTATGACCACACTATTTTTCTTCCTATCATCGTAGATGTTAACTGTAGATGTATCTTTCCATCCTTCTATATTGTATATGTAGTATAAACGCAACGCTATTTACGTACATCTCACGAACGTCTAACCTCTTTAGCAACAACATTACAAACCTCGACCCTCACCCCGGCAGACGCCAGAACATGAATCCACAATCTCTGCGAATCACTCAACCGATCATTCGCCGACTTGACCTCCACAAACATCACTTCTCCGTACCCTTCTTTCCCCTCGGCATCAGCATCACTCTTACCCTCCTCCCCTCCGTCAACGCCCTCCCCACCACCATCCTCCTGATTATATACCCTCCAAACCAACAAATCCGGGACCCCACCTCCCCTTGCCTGATATTCCTGCGCCATCACCCTACAAACAGCCGCTAGCGCCTCGCCCCTAAAACACCTGACGATTTGGACCAAATCATCCAACTCAAACGACCAATCCAGCCCAATCGCGCACGTCTGGCGCGGGGATTGCTCCGCATGGACAGCGCGGATGAGACGCTCCGACTCGCCGTTGGTGATCTCCACAAGACGATGGTTTATCAGTGAGAGACGGGTGGGGTAGAAGGCGTCGGTATGTAGGTCTAGCGGGCTGGTTTGGAAGGGTGTTTGGAATACGTTGGGGATGTAAGTGTAGAGGATGTCGTAGAAGAGGTAGGTGAACTGTTCTACTTGTTAGGTTATGGGGTTGGGGAGGGGGAAGTGGGGGGAGAGGGTAGGAGAAAAGTTACCAGTGTTCGGATAATGCCTCCTTCGGAGTGGTAGCCTTTCCAGCCACGGTCTCTGTACCAGCTGAGACACATGCTTTCGACGCGGCATTCGCCGCCGTCGCGGGGATCGAGCCAGATGGTTGGGCGGCCGCGTTTGGATGTGGCAGTGGTAGTGATGGTAGGGGTGGTATCGTTTGGGGTTGAGGGTTGGGTTGGCTCGTCACGCTCAATCTGGATCCCTTCGATCGTGCGCTCCGCGGGTTTGGCTAGTCGGACGTGCCCGAAGTCGTGCTGTTCGCGCTTGACGACCTTGAGGGCTTTTTCGAGCTTGGTGATTCGTTTCTGGAGGTCATAGTGGTAGATGAGATGGCAATCTGGGTCCTGGAGACCCGTTTCGCAGGTTTGAAGGGCGATGCGGCGCCAGTGTTTGCGTTGAGCTTCTTCGGTGCGCCCTTCGGAGGGTTTCAGCGCCCAGAGGTAGTGTTCTTCGAGGAGTGCTTTGCGCTGGTACCATGCGCCGCGACGGGCAGCGTGGAAGAGACGCTGGGCTAGGAGTTCAGACAGGAGGCGGTGCTCTTCTTCGTGCTCTTTGAAGCGGCCCAGGGGGTGGAGGCCCTTGTGGATAATGCGCGTGTAGACCCATGCTGGGGAGAATCGGCGGAGGTAGGCGCCTTCGTTGTAGTCGTAGACGGTGTCTTCTTTCTGTTGTTCCTTATGGAGGAGGGCTCTCCACCGGGGGTAGACTTTGTATGCGAGGTCTTTGACCTGTGTTAAGAGTTCGACGGTGGGAGTGCCGTTGAACTCGAGGAGGTTGTCGATTAGGTATTGAGTGCGCAAGGCGGATTCGAATTCTAGGAGGGTCTCCCGTGAGGGAAAGATGGAATTGGTTCGACAGACTACGTACTCGGGGAAGTTTCTGCGGGAGATCTTGGCTAGGATGATGGTGGTGAGTGATTTCTCGGTCCATTCGGTGGACCGGTAGAAGACTAGATGGACTCGTTCGAATAGGGCACGAGGGCCGGATGCTAGTCGGATGCAGTCGCCGGTGTAGTCGAGGATTTTTTGGATGAAATGGTCCTCTCTGTTGTTGCCGTTGGATTTACTATTCCAGTCGAGGCCTGTCTGTTTCTGACTTGACCGATGCAGGGCAGTTATGAGCTCCTTCTTACTCTTCCCTGTTACTTTGGCGTCTTTCGCGAGCGTTTTCAACTCATCGAGTAGTAAGAGCGAGGACGCTTCTTCCAGGGTGGTTATCTGATCAATCTCCTCGGCGAACTTGAATTCGCCATCTTGGCCCAAGACAAAGCCCGTATCGACGGGGACGGTGTCATCTGCGGAATTTCCATCTGCAGATGCCAATGATGGGAGCTTCCGAGCGCGGCGCAGTTCAGCTACCACACGGGGCATGTCTGCAATATCCGAGTAGTAGCCTAGCCGGTTGACTCGGATGCCAGGCAGAGGTCTTGCGAAGGAATAGACGCACGTATCTAGCCTATTAGCATGTATACATATACGAATAAGTCGGACAACACACAGATACTGAGACTCATAGTCCAATTCTCGCCACTGCCTAAACACCTCCATCTCTGCCTCATCAAACAAATGCGCCTCCTCATCCAGTACAGTTTCCAGTGCCAGATTGAACGCATCCACGTAGATGGAACTTCGACCCTTCCGCCATGTACCATCCCTCAGTCTCTGCTGGAGGTCCGGTTCATTCTCATCGACTGCGCGCGAAGCTTCATACTCCTCGATTGCGCGATTGTCCGCCTGGATGGCAGGCAGGGAGGACTCGAGCTCGGTTTGACTGTTTGGAGGGATTTCAGAGTCATCTCCAGCACCTTCACCCCCGGCTTCAGCAGGGGTTGGATTGTAATCTAGTCGCACCGGCAGCGGTGTTTCAGAGGGCTTTATCAGCGGACTATCAGACGAGTCGGGAGTGTCTTTCTCATCGCCGGTGTCAGTCTCTTCCCTGGTGGTTTTTCTGCGCTTTGCAGAAGGACGAAGGGTGTCCCAGTAGTCCAGCAGGGACATGCTGCAACCAGGGCAGCAGCACTAACACATAGTCTGCAATGATAATATTTCCATTTGCTTCTCGCTACAGGAAAAGAACGTGACGCGGAAAGACACGAAGTCACCTGACCCATATATCCCGATATGGACAAGCACAATGTATAATTTGCATTGTTTGCATTGATGCTTGATGCTGCGAGGCACAGGATGAAGCGCATGCAGTAAGCCGGCCAGTTCCATCGAAGATAATCCCAGATCCCTCAAATATCATAGCATAGCTACAAGAATATTTAAGTTCAGTCAAATATAAACCATGGCCGACGACAGCGCGGTAAGAGACGTCCCAGAACTGCCAGGAACCACTCCTGCACAGCACACAGTACACTCTCCGTCGCGATCCCCACAGGCGGAGCAGTGCAACTTGCTCCGCTTTTGTTTTACTCTTGAATTCTTAATTTTGCCCCCATTAACCAAACCAATTCACTCCAATTGATCTCTGCTATTCTTTCTATTCTCACTTTTTGACCGCTTTTGAGCATTCACTCATACATCCCCTCCTACAGCAGGCAACAACATCTCAACCTCAACCTCAGCCTCAAACTAATCCTCCACCGCAAACTACTTCTACTACATCTCCCTTCCCTCCCCAGAACCAACAACCACCGTCACAACCACACCCATCTCTTAATCCCGACAAAGATAAAATCATGGCTTCCGACTCAGCTGCAAACACCCCCGGTGCCGACTCCGCCGCTGCAACCCCCTCCGCCACCACTCAAGTCCGTCCCGGCGGCGCCCCGATAAGAAGATACATGAATGAGAAGATAGTGCCTCATCTTCTCGATGGGATGACGGTCGTTGCGAAGGAGCAGTGCGTACACCACTATTCATTCTGACTGTATTCTACTCAAGCGAAGTGCCATCGTAAGGAAGCAAGCTGATGGTGTCTATGATGTGATTTGAATAGGCCACCCAACCCCCTCCGCGTCCTCGGCGAATACCTCATCCAGAAGAGCAACGAGGTCGAACAGCAGGGTGTTTCGAAGACTCCGGAGTAGACGTTCTTGCTTTATCGACTACTTATTGGTGCTGAATGGTAACGTGTGTTGTGCGCTACACATGAGACAATCATCGGGCCCAGAAACTATCCAACGCATGGTGGAATAAGACTGGATGCATACGTACATCAGCATGTACCTTCTGTACGTGACGCTGATACTTTCAAGGTTAATCTCCATCTGCATAAGAGTAACAAGGAGATGAATGCTGATTCGGTCTAGTCTAGTTGTTCAGTCGGAGACGCACCCCCCACACAGATGAAATAGAATGGTTGGTCTTGGGTAGCTTTGGCATATGGAGAGGTTACCTGCTCGCTATGGGTTTCTACTCCTTAGGGCAGTGAGTGAGTTTATCCTCGGCTCTATGTCTATATTGGATGGAGATAATGCGGTCATGAAGTTATGATTTGGATGGATATGTATGAAGAATTGGTTTGGTGGCTAGATATCTGTTGTCTTGGGATTATTAGGCACGGATTTTCTCATGGCCAGGCAGTCATTGTGTGCTGCATGTTGCCTAGATACTAGACACCAGATAAGATTTTTGCTTCTACGCCTACGTTCTATCTACGCCCCAACCAGAGGGTCCTAAATTCTCCATGTAAGGTACGGAATGCTACATAGGAGTACAGCGAGAACCAATCTAAAAAAACGAATTCATTCCCGGATCCCAAATGCGACGAAGATATCTATGTAACAAACAGATATCAAGGATGCTGCCCTGCAGTTAGCCATTATGAGATGATGGTGGAAAAACGAAGAGGAAAGAATAAAGAAAAAAAAAATTAACAAGAGACACATGTAGATGTCCCCTGCTTTCAACCTAGGTCAATCAGAGCATAGCATTCTGATATTCTTGTTTCCAATCAGTCTCAGACCGATCGAACCTACCTCAATCACGCCCCTTCCATATGGCCGGATTATCGATTGCACCGGGGGAATGTACCGACGCCCGGAATTACAGGGTCCACTTGTTTGCTGTTGCCATCAAATTGGCTCTATTGCGAGAACTGGACTCTTCCCCTGGCGATACTACAACGCAAACGCTATGGCGAACTGGTGCCGCGCGACACTGGTCGACCCCCCTGCAGACCGCCGGGTGCAGAGAGCGGGATCCAGGGCGTAAGCAATAGCCTCTGCAGGCTGAGCAGATTTATGAAGCTTCTGGCCGAATACAATCGAAAGTCGTTACGTTAAGATGAGTTGTATAAGACGCAAAGACGCAAACAAAGGCGAACAGCTGACTAGCGAGATAACGACCAAGTTTCCGGAAGGGTTGAAGAGTGAAATGTAGCAGTGTGCTGAAACCCATCTGACAATCCGAGGAATTACAACGTTAAAGTTCTTGTTCTTTCCCATGCCGCCAAATATTCCGGTGTTGCGAGCGAATTTAACAAAAGAAAACATCAGCATGTGAGGAGTGCCGACGACACCACATAGGATTCTCCTTTTCTTTTTTCTTATTCTTTTTTCCCTTGGTTTTTCTTTTCTCTTTCGAAGATCGACTGGTCGCATAAACGGTGACATGTCGGTTTCGCCGGATGACATGTGAATGCGATGAAGACTTCTTCTCTCCATTTTCGACAAGACAACAGATGACGCCCCACCGTAGCCCGTTGAGCGCAATTCCATTCGAATGGGGGTATTGGGAATTAAAAAACCATTCCAGGAAATAGGGTAAGTAAGGGAATGTCACAGAAAACAAAAGGCGTAGGGGGAAAAATTGAAAGAAGCGCGGTGGCTAAACGGACCCATCACTGGACGAGGTTACGTGCTCTGGGTCCTGTTCCGACCGTCCAGATCAGTCAAAACTTCACCTACCTAGTGCTGTAACGGTCGTCACGGGGATCATAGGAACGGCCGCCGCCGCCGCCGCCACCGCTGCTGCCACCGCCGCCGGCGTAGGCATCACGAGCAGGAGCTGCGGAGCCGTAGCTGGGCGGGTTAGCATCGCGGTCATAGTAGCCACCACCGCTGCCGCCACGACGCTCTTCACGGCGATCGTCACGACGGTCCTCGCGGCTGTAACGGTCCTCGCGGCCACCGGAAGCATAGCGATCAATGCCACCGCTGCTGCCACCACCGCGGTATCCATAGTCATCACGGTAGTCACGGCGGCCACCGTAGTCACGGTAGTCACGACCATAGTCGCGGCGGTCGCTGTAGGAGTCATAACGGCCATAGCGGTAGTCGTCGCCACGGCGCCAGCTACCACCATAAGGACCACGACGATCGTCATAGCGATCGCCACGGCCGCCACGGTGACCTCCACGGAAATCTGACGATATTGGACACGCGTAAGCCACATATCAATATACAGAGGGAGTCTGGATAACTAACCACGCTTGGGAGGACCGAAGTACTTTCCGGGGGTCGGGGTTCTGGGACGGCTACGACGAGCCTTCTCAATGCTCAGGGTGCGACCTTCGATGACCTCGCCCTGGAGACCCTCCTTAGCGGCATCGGCCTGCTCGGCAGTGACCATCTTGACGAAGCCGAATCCACGAGACTCCTTGGTGTGGGGGTCGACCATGATCGAGCAGTTTTCGACATCACCGTACTTCTCGAACAGACGCGAAATATCCGACTCGGTCAGACGGGGGTGGATACCAGTGACGAACAGGTTGGATCCAGTGTTGATAGCACCCTCTTCGTCATCGAGAGACTTGCGGGGATCAATGGGGGCGCTAGTTATGAGGAGCTCCAGTCAGTCTGGCTGACGTCTGGGGGTTGGCTAGCTAGCTAGCTAGATCTGCACGTAAACATACCGGTCATCGACGCGACCGTTGGGAGAACGGCTACGGGTGCGATCAGCACGAGGCTCATCGCGAGGAGATGCGCTGCGGTCGCGAGCGAAACGGGGCTCGTCTGAGCAGCGAGTCAGCATTGTTGTGATGATGTTACCGGGGAAATCAGCTGGGCTGGCGAGGCAAGATAACCGGTTGACATACCGTCGTAGCGACCGTTCTCGTTATCGTACTCTGTAGCCATAATGACGGAAACCGAAAAGACGAAATGAGAAAGCTAAGTGTGTTGGAAAGGGATGGGAAGGCGCGCGCGCGACGCAGACCGAGGAAAGTGCTGGTGAGAGGCAGAAAAATTCAACAACCGAACCCGATAGCTATCCGACGCGGATATCAGAAAGCCAGGAAGCTAAGATGGCTCTGATGTCCGAGAGATTAGAAAGAAGAGGAGAAGAAAGGGGATAAGGAAGGAAGGCAAAAAGGATGGATGGAGGAGGAGATGGAAATCGGTGGTGATGATGAAAGAAGGGGGAGAAACCGGGAAAGAAAGTCGAGCGCGGCGAGTCTTCCATAAGCCATTCTGGACCGCCCGCGGCTCTGCCGTCGTGCCAAGGCCGTCCTCCATACCAGCCATTCAATACCGTCCACACTATGCAACATGGAGTAGTTACTATCTCATCAGTAGAATGTTAATTGAATGCGAATGGACAATGATTACATTCTGTAAAAGTTCATTATCTGAGAATGGCTGCTGTTCTAATCCACCAAATTCCCAGTGTTTAACCTAACCAACGCCTGGCCAGCCTATGTTTGTTCCCTCAGCAGCAACAGCAGCAGTAGTAGGGAGACGAGGTGAAAAAAGAAAAAAAAAAAAAAAAGAAAAAAAAAGCAAACATACAGAAAGGGGAAATCTGGGAAACGCAGAGAAAGAAATGATGTGTAGGTGTGTAGGGAATGTTCGCTCAAAACCGATGATATCTCCGCCACCTGTACGTCTAACTACCTGAATCCGCGCCAGCGTCGTCGAGTCCGATGTACCTTGACATTCTGTTGTGTTGGTGCATCGCCTCCATTTGCTGCTTCATTCGATCCATTGATCATCTGTCCTTCCAGCTCTTCATCCTCGACCAGATCTTTTAGCTCCTCCTCGTCTAGCTCACTGAGCTCCTCGCTCATCCCTCGCATCACATCTCGCCCGGTCCACCGCTCCTCGTGGATGGTGGTACCAATGGGGTCGAATGGTTGCATATACCACTGGATGCCTCCTTGCGCCAACGGATATTGCTGATCACCCTTGAAGCTGGGTGGGGGGGTCAACGGCCCTTTTTGGGTCTCCACTGGTGGCTTGGATGGCTCAACACTCTCTTTCTCCATATTTCCATTTTGATCAGGAACAGGTGGTTGATCTTCAATTGTAGGCTGTACAACTGTGGGCGCCACATCTGCACTTGGAGGCTCTGTGTCCTGCATATCAGCGGGAGCATCCTCCATGTTCGTGTCCTGCTGTACTTGAGGCTCAGTAGATGCCTCTGCAGGTTGGGACTCGACCGCACTAGGCTCGACAGGTGCATCTGTTTTCCCAGGCACGTCGGCAACACCAGCAGTATCTTCAGGCTCGGATTTAGCCAATACAGCCATTTCCTCAACCTTCTGCTCTGTACCATTTGGTACTGTCAACGCTTGTTCATCGTTAGCTTGTTCTGGCGCATCGACTTCAGAGCCCCGTCTGGACATGACACTATTCTCCAGCATGAGATCGAGCTCCTTGAGCTCTTGTTCGAACGGCTTGCGGTTCAATTCGCTCTCCTTTCGGATAGCATCTTCTAGCGAAGGCTGAATAGCTTTGATTATCCGCTTGGCAAGCTTCCTTTTCTCGCGTTGCTCTAGGCTAAGTTCCGGAGCACGACCACTAATCTGCATCTGAAGCTCAGCCGTATCTCCAGCCGGTTGGACTCCGATCTCCGTGGTGAAGACGTGGGCCAAGTCGGCGGAAAAGGTAGCAACCGAAGGATAAAAGCGTTCTTGCAACTTGCTTCGAATAGACGCCAGGCCTTGTCGAAAGATACCTTTGCCATCAAGCCTGCCGCATTGTTAGAACACGTGAGGGAAAGTAGATGAAACATGCTTACCCTTGAGCTTTCTCGAAAATCGGCCAGAGCAGAGGGAAAATGGGAAAGTAGACAGTGTCGACAATAGTCTTAAGCGTCTCCACGTCCTTTAACTTTTCTCTCTCGCGGTTTTTCACCTCATCACACAGCATCCTCAATCGATCCAAATCATGATATAGTCTCTCACCAAATTCAATACGCCGTTGTAACCTCTTGCTCCCAGGGACTCCCATAGCAACATAGTCTCTCCTTGTCATCTCCATGGACGAAAAGGTTTCCAGCTGGAGTTGCAAACGTTTCAGAAGTGCGGCTCCCCGCCTGGCTTCTCGTTTCAGCGTCCAGTATTTGCATGCATCCTCAGCATACTGCTTTCTTTGTCGGACCCCGAAGCGCTGCAGCGAGGCCACAACCGAGTTCAGCACGACCTGAGGGATGACAGGGGCCCCGGAAGGTAACTTCCAGATAGTCTTGGGTACAGTCGGTCGCTTTCGCTTATTGCCGCCAACAGTCAGAGTAATGCGTGGTGTATGTGTGCGATATCCGTCCTCATCCCCGTGATCGCAACCGAGAGGGTGTGTAGGTTCCAAGGAAAGCGCTGCTGCCTGGCTGTCTCCCCATCGGCGGCCTTGCATTGTAGTCCTGTAGTACTCTATTGCCTCGGCCGTGGCAACATCTGTTCCATGCTCTCTGCGCCATTCTGGTGGAACATGCTTGTCACAAAACGCTTTGAGTAGATGGGAGTCCATGACCGCCGGAGTTCCATGGCCAGACTTCATCTTCAAATAAAGCTGAGCCCTCCGTGCGCATGTAACATGGAACGCAACGAAGCAGTTCTTGTTACTGCATTGTATCGAGGCGCCCATTCTCTGGCGACAAATGTAGCAGTGAAGCTTCCAGCGACTGCGAGGTACCTTCTCCACGTCTGTGATCGGTTCCATAAGAGAAGGATTACCAATAGAAACCTCCGGGATCCATATCGCACACAGGAGATGAGACCACTTCGAGGAGGTAGTCTGCTTGAAGGCACCTTCGGTATTTGGACAGAAGATGCAGTTGACAGACCCTCTTCCAATCAGCTGACACTTGCGACACAGCCATTGTCCCTCAGGGATGAACGGCACACCGTAGCATTCCTGATGTACTGCCAAATCGCAACCGTCGCAGAAGACAATCGCATTGGAGTTTTCGCAGTCACCATCGTCGCAGATAGCACATTTGCTGTCTTGTTCCTCACCCGGCGCTGTCTCGCCATTTACCGCCGCTGCAGAGCTCGAACGAGGACGTTGCGTCTGAGGAGGCTTGGGATTAGGCTTCGGTATACGCTTCTCTAGGATGTGCCACTCCTTCTCAATCTTGGTCATGGTGATCTCAAAGACCGCCGGTTTGATTGGCTCCAGCTGGTCTTCTCTTCGCTTCGCATTATATTCCTCCAGCCACTTCTCATCTTGCTCATCCATATCATATTCCACCCGGCCAACGGCAGCATTGACCTCTCCTTCTGAAGTGACCGGGTTCGCCGAATCCAGATCATCTTCCTGAGCACCCTCTGTCATGCGGATCAAACGACGGTCATGACGGAGGAATAGGTCGCTTTCTTGATACCCTACACTCGCCATAGTGCGATCAACATAGTTCTGCTGACCTACTCCGGGTTGGTCATAGAAAGTGAACGGGTCGCGTATGCGGAACGAGGGCTTCGGCAGCGTTAGCCTCTCGCGTGGATTCGGGCCTGGGGGTGGAACATTCTTCTGTTGATGTGTAATGCCCAAAGCGTTAAGGATGGCTTCCGGTCGACGAGGAGGACGGCCTGGTCGACGCTTGATAGGGGTCGGTGACGAGCCATTCGTATGCGCGCGAATCAGCTCAGCTATTGGATCCTTCTCATTCGTCATCTCGAGGCCGTTTGGCGACAGAATATGAGCAATCGAGGCTGTGGGAGGGGGGCGATCCACTTCCTCTGCATCGAAAACCGCAAACTTCGTCTCAATATCTAGATCTGGGTGAAACTCCTCCCAACCACGCTCCTCTCGCGGCTTGTAACCATCCCCTTGTTGTAGAGCAAGGGCAGCCGCCGTCGACGACCCAAAACGGCCCCGGTTCTGACTCTTCTCTCTTCTTAGACGCGCGGAGGGAGGTGTCGTCGGAACAGGAGGTGGCGGCGGCGGAGGAAGTTGTACAGGCTGAGGTTGTGGTGCTGACTCTGGAACTGAAATTGGGCCATTGCGACCACGAGAGTTGGAAGAATTACGTCTGACTGCCGGTGTGGGCTTGGGTTTCGGCGTATCCTTCACCTCCAGCTCGATGTATCTCCCACCACCACCCGGTCCGCCAGGGACATACTTTCGCTTCTTGAGGGGAGGGCCTTCGTTGGTTGCCGATGAGTCGGAGCTTGAGGGAGGTTTCAAGGTCACTCTAGTCTGGGATCGAGAGGGTCTGCTGGGCGAGCGGTGGCTCTTAGGCCATGAGAGGGGCGCCATAGTTTGAAATAAGGCGGGAATAAGCGCGAACAGAGACGGATAGAAAGTCGGCTAGAAAGGAGTTGGTGATAGAGCGACGCCGAGCGATGCCGCTCAGCCGCACGTTCTGGGATTCCAGACAAACGCACGTCGCGCCGTAAAGCAGATAGGAAACGAAGTTCAAACGATCGGAAATAAACAGAGCATGACTCCTCCAAGCCGCCAAGGTCGGAAAAGACAGTACTCGACAGTGAATGTGGGAGACAACAGAGAGGGGATAAGACGCGCAGGCCGCGAGAGGGCGGGAAGTTGACCAGATGCTGGCTTATGATAAGCAAAGCAACCCGCTTGGCTGGCCGTCGGGCCCCCAAAGGCGGAGAGTCCCAAGCCGCTCTCCACATTCGCGCTGCTTCCCGCCGACCTTCTTGTCTGTCAGTTCAGTTCCCCTCTTGATTACCTCCAAGAGCTCTCCCTTTCACAAGCCCACTTTGTTGTTCTGTTTACCGTCTACTGGTTAGATAGTTACAGGATGAGTGGTCCCGGTGAGGAGCGGTAAGTGAATCACCCACCTTTTTCCTGACTGAATTACTATTCCTCTCCCCGGATCTCTAGACTAACAACAACCCACCCGTGGGTATGCATTCTAGATGGCGCGGAGGTCGCTCATACGACCAGAACCGCCACTCGGCGCAAAGACAATCCAACGCCCGCACCATGAGCGCGCATGGTGGGTCTCGGGGGGGACAGCATAATTGGGGAGATTCGCGTGACCAGTTCGCTTCCGGGCCGCAGCAGGAGCAGCATGTCCCCGTGCGAGGCTTCAATGCCGCGGAGTCGAAGGGAGCTCTGAGAAAAGGTGCGTTTAGACCAACTTCTGTGCGAGGAATGACACCAGCTAATACACAGCTTGCGCTGGGCTCTAGGACCGGGAGGTGCGCATACCGCTACTGCTCACCCGAAACCAATGTCTACGATTGCCTATTGCTAACTCCCATCTCCTCTCCAGAACCGAGGCCTTACCACTACAAACCACAAGGAAAGGACGTGAACAACCGTGCAAGCGGACCCTGGGGCGCAAAGCGTACGTGACTACCCCCCAGGAGACGACAGCACAAAACAAACGAACAATAACCTAACGCGCATGACAAACATACAGCCAACCAAATGGCAAACGGGAAAGATTTCTTCCTCGAGCTTCGGAAGCAAGTAACGGCGCTGCAGCAGGGTGGCACTGTTGCAGGTGGTTGACGGAAATTGGAGGTTGAAGAAACTGTACAAAGTCGACCGATGCTGGAAACTTCAGGCGAGGGTCAGGAGATCTAAAGAACCCGAAATGCTTGTCGCTGCTGGTGGATGGATGTGGAGATGAGCTCTTTTCTCCTGGTGATAGGCTGATAAGCTGTCACCTCTGGAAACGGGGATTGGGATAACAGTCTCGTCACGGACAACTGGTGCTGTCTTGAGCAAACCCGGACTTGTATCATATCTGTCTGTGGTAAGGTAGCACCTTCCGCTTGGCTTGCGAATACTAGTTCATATGACATGGAATGAAATGTACATGATTATACAGAGATTTTGAGTTGTAGTCAGTTGCGAGTAAAGCTCAGTAGTAGTGGTGATACATTGGTTGTGATCTATATACAGCTCATAAAAATACACACTCGAAAGAGTGAAGTGCCGCTAAACGACATCCTACGGTCTATTGTACAAAATGATCCTCAGCTCTTTCCCACCCGAATGGCCCCAGCACACCACCATCCCCCTCCCGCGGATCAAGCGACCACTTTCTAATAGCCCGAGAGGTAAGATTCGTGCGCCAGCCCGCCTCAAACATCTCCATACCCGCCCAAGCAATCATAGCAGCATTATCCGTACACAAGTATGGCGGAGGAGCAACAAGCCCAACGTGCCCGAACCCGCGGGCATCCAGCCACGAGCGCAACACAGTCATAAGGTACTGGTTCGCCGCAACGCCACCACTAACAACGAGGGTCTTAACCTCCTTCTCAGGCCCTTGTTTCGCAAGGCTTTCCAGCGCCATGATAGTGCGCGACGCGAGATGCTCAAAGCTAGTCCGCATTGCCTCCCGAGCGAGTGCTATCCTCTCCTCATGACTTATAGTTTGACCGGCTGCTTCGCGAGCGGAAAATATCCTCGCCAGCGTACTGCCTATGAAGCAGAAGCTGTATTGCAGTTGACGGCTGTGGGCCCACGGCTCTGTGAACGACCAGCCCCAGGGGTTTTCTCGTGGGATAAGTTCGTCGTGGCGAGATTTGGGAGCTTGGTAGTCGGCGTAGTCGGCTTTGCCGTTCGGGAAGGCGAACTCTTCTAGCAATTTCCCGTACATGGTGCTCTTTGACGTCTGGAGGAGAAAAGGAGGAATGATTTCGCGGGCGGCCTTGTCTAGAGCTTCTCCGAGGGCTCGGTCCACCGTCGAAGCCATGATTTCGTGGTCGGTTATGGAGGAGGACTTGACTAGCATTGTATGGCCGCCAGAGATGAGGATAGAGAGGAAGGGAAACTCGGGAGTGATGGGCTGCTGCTGCTGCGACGCCGCGACATCCTGGCTGTTGTCTTGGCCCTTGCCACGGTTCATACAGGATACAAGACGAGGAGTCAACAGATGAGCCTGCATATGATGGACTCCAACGAACGGCACCTGCCATGCGACGGAAAGCGCCTTTCCTGTATCTAGCCCGACAAAGAGGTTCGAGCGGAACCCTGGTCCCCTAGTGGAGCATACGAAGTCGGGTTTCCTGCGCAATTGAGAATCACTCGATACATTGATCGTTTGTTGCTTTTCGTGCTTCGCGACGGGCAGGTGAGCGAGTGCTTTATGGACGAGACTTGCGATATTCTCTTGATGCGATTCGAGAGCCACGACCGGGTGGATGCCCTGGTATGCGCTGGTGTCGCATGTCACCTTATCGAGGAAATGGATTTGGACGGCATTGGATTCCTTCTCGACGATAGCTACCGATGTGTCGTCGCTAGATAGATTAGAACGATTAGCTATGCTGTCGCGAAAGTAAGTCCGGGCGGATTAGACGCACCAGGAAGTTTCGATGGCAAGTGTGAGCAGGCCGCGGCGGCTTCGAGGTAGAAGACTCCACCTCGGAGCAGTACACAAGCCTTTGCGTAATGCTGAGGTGGAAACTCTGCTCAACATTGGAGAGGATTTGAAAGACAAGCGAAGAAAGGCTGAGGCAAGCTTTCTGGGTATGGCTTGTCGGCGGGAAAACTAAAGACTATCGTATCGGGATTCTCCTCGCACGGGCCATCGAAACCCGGGGCCGCCGCCACTGTTACTATAAATCGCTACGGTCGGTCTAAAGTGGCTAGGATCACCGCTGAGAATACAGCATGAGTAGGTCTACTAATCTACTGCAAGCACTGAATGCAATGGAGCCATAACGATCGTCGTTGGGTTTAGCCCAAGGTAGGCCCTATACTAAGTACATAACGCCGGACCGTATCATCACATCATGAACATAACAGGTATCATATACACGCTGAGTCTATCCTCATTCCACCAGATGCATCCATCCCAGTGTTTCGGCTGCACTCCAGGACATTCGATGTTTCGCGCCGTCAGACCTACCCTGAGCTGTCGTTGCGCTCCAGATACCGGATCGGCTGTATCAGAACCGAGTCGGAACGGGGAGGGCGCAGAAACCGTGGCGCGTCAGAAGGCTCTTCGGATTTCTGGCCCAGCATCCCCACTGATCTGCCTTTCGCCGTAGTGTTGGTTATAGCGACATCAGCCTCGTCTTCATTCACGAACCATCCAACGTCGCTCCTCGCGCGACAACTTGGTGTAAGTGCCATAGTACTCCTCGGGATTCTCGATGGGCGTGACACAGTGGACAGTGGGAGTGCCTTTGAACTTAATCCGCTTTTCTGCATGGCTCGAAGCGCCCGAATGTTTCTTGAGAATACTCTTGGACGAGCACGAGTTGCTGTAGGCATAGCTTGGGACTTGAAAAGACGAGAACCGCTTTGCACTCGGGCTGGCAGGGGAAATCGGAGTGCGCGGGATCGCGCTAGGAGACTTGAGAGACAACGGCTGACGAGAAGTACTTTGCGCAGCAGATGTGCACAGTGAAAGCTTCGGCCTTGCGTTGCGAGCGATCATATTGACTGACACTGATGGGTTGGAAAGATGATTGAATGCAAAAAGATGTCTTGTTCTTTGGGTGGAAGAAATAAGTAGAGAACAGGCGCAGGGAGCAGCAGCACAAGATTATCAAGGAAGAACACTTTGATCAACAGAGTGTTTCCGAGAAGGCAGGCGTGTAAATGATACTATTATTACTCGATGACGTGCCAAACAAGAAGTTGAAAACAGATAGTCGCCTGGACCAGCCAAACGAACTACTCAAGGATGAAAATAGAACGAAAACAAAAACCCAGCAAAGCCCAAAACAAATTGTGTGTCAAGAAAAGAGGAAGAACCCTTAAGCCCCGGGCTAGCTGGGCGGCTATATAGTTGTTCGACCTTCATTGCTGGGAAGAAACCCTGGTGGTGGGGAGGGCGAAGGCGAGGGGTTGACCTGGCGATGGATGGCAACCTATTTTGAGAACTTTGGGTCAGGAGGTGACGCTTTGCTCCCATCCATACGCAATGATTCGTTGTCGCTCAGCAGGGACCTCGAGACTAGGTGTGATGAAGGGGTGACTTGTGCCTGATCGTGCAGCTGCTCGGCGCTTAGAATGTGATGAACACTAGCCATTGGCTGCCGGTCGCCATCCCCCCTCGTCGACCACCCGGCATCTTCACAATTTCCCGCACTCGACGATCGCAAGCTCCCCTCACTATAGAGTGGACAAGCATTCTGCAGAGTTTGAACTGCCGAATGAGATAACTGTTTGCCGTGGGCTTCGGAGCACACATGGGCGAGCGTGTGGGACATTGACGGCACTTGCATATGGGCACACCGACATCACACCCCACGACTAAATCATTGGTTCTCATCGTTCGTATCCGAAGGACTTTTTGCGCTATTCCAGATGGGAAGTGCAAGATGCCAGCTTGCAATGTGTCGACGATCTTGCTAATCAGCAAAAACGAGTGACTGTGGCTCGAGAATAGCTCACAGAGCTAAAGTCAAGGTTTCAAGCGAGCCTGGTTCTTCCCATTTCCGGATGCCATGATGGCAATGGCAGGACTTTGGGGAATTCGAGGCATCAATGCGGAGTGGCTCCAGAGCAAGGTCGGGGCCGTCTTAAGATCCGAACGCCTAGTTAATAACCTCTTGCGCGTACCAAGGTCAACGGGTTCGTGAATCGGATTGAGAACCCTTTGCCAATTCGAAAGCGATCTGGGGAGCTATTCCTGAGCCAGTGCCTGTGATTGACGCCTACCTTGCCAGTAAGCGAATGCGTGTCGAAATTCGGGCAAAAGAAGCCGTTAAGATGTCGGAGGTAATGAGATCAATCAAGCCATGAGGGTCATCATCCGTTTTGATCTCTGTTGTCATCAGAAGTCACCCTTCGCAAAAGGGTTCGGAACCGATTTTTCGGCGCCGGACTAATCTCCTGTAACTCGATGGTAGAAGATCCGCTGTTGCGGCGAGAATTGTCTTCATCCAAGACGTACTTCCATTGCCCATCGGGCGTTTCTTGTCGATTAAGTTTGTATCGTTTGTCCATATCGACAAAGTGTTTCTCTCGGTAGCCTTCACTCCAAGCGTATGTTCCCTTGAAATCGTTCAGAACCTGCCCATGGATGACCCAAGGGATGATGGAGCCGATAGACCGTGGGATGCGAGGAAATTTAAAACGACCTCTCCTGGTAAGGAAAACCGAGGCGACAACGCACCCATCGAAAACCACTATGATCAGGACATACATAAATGATGCAAACGATGGGACCACCGCCCAGGACATGTTGTAGATAATACCGTCGCTGATTCGAGCAGGGGAATCTTGAAGCTGGAAGTAAGAGTCCCGTTTAAGAGATAGATCAGTTGCAAAGATTGTCCGGTAGACATTGCGGGAGGCGGATTCTAAAACACTTGCAGTAACGACACTTGTGTTGGTGTCCAAAATGCGGTACAGACTTGCCGTGAGGGCGCCAAACCAATCAGTGCTGCTTGCATTGTTGGTCTCTTGATGCGAGCCGTTGTAGGTAAAACTCAAAGGGCTCGATAGCCTGAGGTTGTAGTTGGCGAGGTTTGTTGTACCATTGCGCACAATTGCATCATCTCTGACAAATGTGCCATTGAGAGGAGCATAGTATTGTATGTACCCATCCGAGTTAAATCCAACGGAGAAATTCTGCATGAGGAATAGGGATTCACAATACAACGCAACTGCGGTATCGGACGTAGTTTGTAAGTAGCTACTTCCGCTAGGGTAGGCAACCACAACGACAGCGGGCTTCTGACAGCCACTTGATTCTGCAGACGTTGGTGAAGCGAAGAAGCGAACCGTCAGGCTGTCCTGGCTAGCCTCAGTTTCTTGGATCGTGTCTATTTGGCACACCGTATCTGATTCGTTGAAAGGTGAGTATTTCCAACTGGCTACATTTGTTATCGGGTCCTCGGAATAGCTGTCGGCGATCGAAAGCTGCTTGCATGCTAAATCGGCACCAACGCCCCGTATGGTGCCCCCAACGAGCCATTCAGAAGATGTATCCGTCCATGCAGGGAGAAAAGAGTAGCTGGATGTAGTCCAAGAGAGCACCGAGGTTCCACTGTAGATGCTGCTCTTGATAGTGTCAAGTTCGGGGCCTATTGGCGAAGGTTGTCTTATGGCGATTGACGCATAGCTGTAGTTAGACTTCATATTAGTATCAACCCTCGTCGGGCCAAGCTCGTGCCGAAAAAGCCCGCTGGCCAGTATGCTCATTGCGGTGTTGAACAAACACGCCACTCCTACGAGTCCCAGCAAGAAGTGGCGGTAACTGAACCACTTAAAAAGCGAAGCGAGAGGATTCAGTGATCCGTACTCAAGCAGTAGGGAAGACGCAGCAGAGGCGCCTCCCGCTTGAAGAACAGACCATGGTTCCAGAACGCTCAGGTAGCGGTATATCGAGAGGCATAATGCCCTGATAATGGAAGCAAGTGCGGACGGAATGAATTGGAACAATGCTGCCAGACTGTCTGAATCAAGGTAGGTCAAAGAATGAAATGCCCCATCCCGGGCACACAGCACGAATATCGTCACAATACCAGCAAATACCGCTATGAAAAGGAAGATTTCAAGGGCAAAGATTGGTATCAGGAGGAAATGAGGTCTTGGATCGGGTTTGCCTTGGAAGATCTGTCTTTGAGAGCGAGGAACTAAACAGAAGTCAATATTTCTGCTTTATGAGACCCCTTACCGAGGCCTGTCACGATTAGTGCGGGGAGACTCACCAGCAGATGGCTCAATGCAAATACGGGGAGGCTCAGAAGCTTGCTGCCAGCGGCAAGTATAGTTTTTGAGGATCGTCCTCAGCTGTCTGGTTGACAACTGATCCAGGTTCAAGTGAGAGAGGCAAGAAGCATCAATGACATCAGCCATGATACCACACATGGATGCGATAGAAGCAGGGTCACTTCGAAGCATATTTGGGCGGTTGGGGTAGGTGTATGCCAAGTACAAGACCACTACCACTCCGAACAGGAGGATTGCCTCGGACACGAAGGACTGCACCGGGCCCACTATGATGGCCATCTGATGTGTCACATGAGAAGCTTGCACATAGTGTGATTGGCTGGTGACATCGAAAATCCTGTTCATCAAAGGTACAAAAGCACCTTGAACGCTAGTTTCCAGCTTCGAGATCATATCGTGATGAAGTGTTGATGGTCTCACAGGCTTCTTATTGAACGAGGAAGTGCCGTTGGTGGAGACCACCTCTTGCAGGATTATGCCTTTGAAATGCGTAGTATTGAGAGAAGCTCGCGACACCTCTGTAGTTGAATTCGGATGCAGATCAACGACTGAAAGCGAACCGTTTACTTGCACTGAGATGCCAGCTTCCGAGGTCTGATAGACAATCTTGCAGCCAAATCCACTGACCTGATGGGTGTAATCAGAGCTCGAATAGTCAGATTTCTGGCGATCAAGTTCACTGGTTTTGTTGAGACTGACGTCTACCGTCAGTCCAATCAAGTCGAAGGAAGCACATTGCTTGGTAATACTAGTCGTGGATACGTTCGGCTGCCAGTGTGAGATCTGTACAGATGAGTTGGTCGGCGGTATAGTGATTTCCTCGCTAAGTTCCAGCGTGCAATTATCGGTTGTTGACACGTCGTTGAGGTTCCAAATCAAGGGTTGTCTAGTGGGCGACCCGATACCGAATGAAGAAGTATTGGAGGATACATCAATGGTTACGGCATCGTCCACGTCGATCTCAGTACAGGACAACTCTGCCCAATAGATGGATTGCGTGAGTTCCCACAATTTCGTGTCGTATTGAATATCCAAAGGTATAGAGACAGGTGCCATGGCATACTTGCTCGATTCCGGCTGAGTATAAGACAAATCCCGATGGTCTCGAAAGCTGGACGTGTTCTGGTTGCTGTTATCCACCAATAATCCTTGTTCTTCGAGGTTCACGATAGTCGGCCATGTTTGAAGGTGTTGATTCTTGTAGACGGTAGCATCATCCATGTTGAACAGACTACTTTGCAACGACGGGAATACCAATTGCAGGAGGATACTCAGGATTGAGATGCAGACCGCAATCCAATGGCGGTTCCTCATAGCAAAAAATGGCGCGGTTGTATAGTGACCGAATTCATAATTAAGAAGAAGCACATCAGCCGGAGCCCCCTGGGGTCTTGATAGTTGGAAGTACGGTTCGAGCCGAAGAGCGTCATATTCAACGAGGGACCATAAGACTGCGATGATCATACTCAGGATCGTGGGGACGTAGGTGTAGGCAAATTTTCGGGTGTCGGTGAGTTGGTCAGTCGAGGTAAAGAGACTGAGGCTACCTTCATTGTTGCCCAGTTGTCGAAGGAACTCAGTCACCAACAGCATGAAGAACATGAGGCAGGCCAACGGGATCAAGTATTGTCGGCGCAAGGTCCGCGGAAGCCATCCTGATGTCCGGATCTGAGGAGCATCGCGAGTAAGCTCTGTTGTCATCGTTCCTCGGTCCTTCACATCTGCCAAAGGTGCCTAGCATAGATCACCGGAAGGATATGGCTGGTATCAAAAACCAGTCACCGCAATCAACCGCGATTCGACATGGCTGGAGGAAGTGTTCAGGAGTGAGGCGCTCGGGAATGAGGGGGCCACAGAAAGGTCACTTCAGGATTGCCCATCGACGTATATCCCAGCTGATTGACTCGTCGACACGGTGTGATAGAAGGAAAGTCGTATTCAGGGTCCTCTTTTCCGACGATGCGGCTGGTTGCGCGAGGATTCGGGCTGGGCGGAAAGAGAGTCGATGAGGAATGAGATAAGAAACGAACCGGGTCGTGGTGCTCGAAGGCGACGAGCCCCGGCGCCAAAACCATTTTAGAAAAATAGCCAGTTTCGGGGGTGGGCAACTTGGCCCGTTTGGGATTAATTTATTGCACCGGGGCCTATTGGTACGTGTTCCGGGTGGAGCGCCCACTTGGAGAAGAGGGGGTCGACTGGTGATGCGATCCGCTTCGCAGCCCATGAAAAGGCCACCAACCTCGCCTTACGATCCACTGCATTTGCAGCAGGAAATCTGGCTACTGGCTAGCACTTCTAGTCCCCTTTCGACGCGGGAGGAGTGCTTTGGTTCACGGGCCTGTCTTTCCTTTCTGCCGTCAGCAGTCTGCATCTCGGTGTACTTGCAGCCCAATCAGTCCAACATCTTCTCAATATGGTGGGTCATGGCCCTCGTTGATCACTGTGACAGCCCTGGAAGATATCCAGGAATAGGCATGATCGACAGTCAATAAATTGCATGATGGTCGCAAAAGGGTGCTGTAAAGGGTTCAGGCTTTCAACACTAACAATGGGGTCGTTGAGTGATTGCTGGTGGTGGACACTTCGCCATGGCCGAAACTTGGCGAGGGAGAAATGACGAATCTCTTTGGTAGCGCTCCAAGGCTTGGTATATTTAGCCGCTCGGTGCCCCACCGAGAGCCCGTCCCTGTTTCTTTCCAGGGAGCTGGTCGTCATCTTTTATGCGTATAGATACATCAATTTACCTACAAATTCTTTGCATCGAGGAATAGTAAGACCAAGGCTTTCTTTTTCCTGTCTAATTTTGATACGGTAACAGCAAGCTTTGAGCCCGGACTTATCCACTGAACAGCAAGGCAGCAAGGTCCGCCAGCATGCCATTCGCCCATCTGCTGATAAGCTTAAAATGGCTCTGCATTGAACCTCAGCTTACAGCCTATTAGACAATCTCGCACAATCCGAATATGAGCCGTATGTCATACTAAAGTTATAGGGAGTCCAGTGCTTTTATGATCAGCTGACCTTCAACTTGACGCTCGTGCTTGCAATATGGTGGAGAGGTGGAGATAATCCGGAAATATGTCTGTAGCACTGTTCAGAACCTTCATTGAGTTGGTTCCTTGCACAAAAGTCCAGATGTACTTTCAGATACTTAAGTGCTCGCACAAATTCATCACATGTGATGGGATATCTACACATCGAAAAGAGTAGTACACGTGGTGCTAACTTAGCACATCTGATGGATATACTAATGTCAAAGTCATGTTACTGAACTACTATATATGATGGGCCAAATAATGATAGTATACCTACGCTCCTGATATCTTATGGCAGAGTCATCCCCTACTAAATCTTATCAACAGAAGCCTTGAAGATGGGTATATATCTGGTGGGGACTTCAGGGACTACGGCCAAACCCTTGTTTCACGAGAGCTACCAGCGAGAGTTTTATCTGGCAGTAGCTTAAATTTGGGCTTTGCTTCAAGATATTCTAGGAGTATTGTTACGATAATGGGGCATTGATCGAGGGGAAATTTTTTAATTGAATATATTCGTAGAGTCCGGTTCCTTGTAATGCTCCTGTTGGTTTCACCAAGAGATGCTACCTGGAACTCTAGGACTGGTTAAAGGCCCATGACAACTGCGTATAGTTTGTATGCAGCAACAGGTCTACATTACTACTGAATGTGTTGTGAGGCTAATTCGCAAGTTCCGTTTTAATACCAATGTATGTCGCATCCTAGCATCATGATGGGAGCAAAATCCTATGAGTGGTGTTGTACAGAAAGGGGCTCAGATACAGATACGAGGTATATCGCGGGTGCGAGTCACTTACGCTAAGATGGCTTCGATCGACAAACAAAAATAGGATGAGCTAACTCTCACTGTACCCCACAAATCGCATCAACTGCAAGTCCCCTTATTTATCTTTTCGAAAAATGGTAAAACGCTGAGAAAGGAATAAAACATTGATGAGGAAAAGAGTCGTTCATGTAGTGAAGATCGGCGAAGCTTTTGGTCGAAGGAATTAGTGCGTGGTAGGAACCAATAAAGCGGGACCGTAAACACTTGGCTCTCTGGGCGTCACTGCCCGTACTACTAGGATCACCATCTCACTCAGTGTACTCCGTACCTGTAGCTAATTTGGATACGAACTTCTGCAACGTTTGAACTCCAGCCTTACCCGCCATGGTGGCTGAAATGTAGCAGAACAGTGACAGCCCGATTCGGCCACCGGTTCCATCGGATACGATGGATCCTGATGAACGGCCGCTAAGTTCGGGCCCAGACCAGAGTGGCTCTCAAAGGAGGTAATACCGCGTGTGACCTACTTCGGTGTGGTCCATAGGCAGTTTCTCCATGACTTCTTAGAAATCGTCAGAGCGTTCATGGTTGCTGGACAAAGGTGATGGGTCTGCCTAACCTAGCAGACTAGTCAAACTCACCTGCCTGCCGCCCTGTTTTTTTTCCTTTTGCCAGGGCTCTTCCACATCGGCCATGCAAACACGCCAAACCCCACCAGGCGCCAGGTATCCACGGAAGTATGGCAACCACGGAGGATGACGACAACTTTTGAACTCAGTCCTTCGCTGTCACCTTGGCTCCCTTCTCCTTTTCCTCCGACTGGCTTCCGGGATCTTTTTGCAAGACTTCAGACAAGGTAGATCCTCTGGCGTTGGGCTCGAGGAAACAACATCAATTCCATTTGCTGGGCCCATCGATAAGTCCCAGCGTATGCGAAGCTTCCGCCTGCAGTGCAGGGTAACCTCGACGACCGGTGTACATGACCTAAGCCTGGTTTCCATACATTGAGCATCGCAAATGGGCGCAGTGAAGAACATTCTAGAGCCTGCGGGTAAGTTATATCCCTGCTACTTGCAATCCCGCATCATCCGAAGAAGCATACTGATATTCCCGTCCTCTTGTAGCGATTGTTGCCGCCTTCACCGCAGGATCACTCATCAATCGGCGCAAGAACGCTAAGCTCCTCGCTACGCCGGACGTCGAGTCACCACTGCTGGAAGCCCCTCCAGTAGACATAAAGCCAAACGAGGAGGACGCTGATGAGCGCACAATCCGAAACCGCCGAACCATACAATCACGGATCCTAGCCAAGTTCCCCTTCTTGTTGGAAATATGGTACTGGCTACTCACATATTGGGTGAGACACATCTCGATGCCCAAGGCACACTTCCTATAGTACCACGCATAACTGACTAGGTGGGCAGATCTATCAAGGTTTACGGGCGTTTTCCGCTAGAATGATTAGTGGCCATGAGGCTATCTTCGACACTGCCGAGCGTCATGCCCTTTCCATCCTCTCATTCGAGCACTTCCTTCACCTCGATGTCGAGCTGTCAGTACAAAGGTATGTGCTTGAGCAGAAGCCATGGCTCATGGGATTCCTGGCTCGGGTATACTATTCACACATTGTCCTCGGCGTGATATTCATCGTCTACTGCTATACCTTCCTCCAACGAGACAAATATCAAGCAATCAGGCGTACGCTGGCGTTCGAGAATGTCATTGCCTTCACCATCCTTACCTTGTGGAGGTGCATGCCACCTCGCCTGCTGCCAGAAGAGTACGGCTTCATCGACGTTCTGCACAGCAATACAGGCGGCTCAGCTTGGACGCAGAACAAATTTCAACTTACAATTGCAGCGATGCCCTCACTTCATTTTGGAAACTCGATGTTCATTGCACTCTGCCTGCTGAAGTTCAGTCCGCATTGGTACCTTCGGGCTGTGGCGCCCATCTGGCCCATGCTCATGGCACTCACTATCGTTGCGACGGCCAATCATTTCATCCTAGATGCTGTCGTCGGTGCATGTGTGACGCTGACGGCATTTAGATATAACACCGTCATGTTGTATCTTCTTCCTGTGGAAAGAGTACTCTTCAGGTTGTTGCGTATAGAGAAACCCTAGGCCGCCAGAGGTGCCTAGCTTACCGGTATAAAGTCTTGGGAACTTGGGGTCACGATATCCATATCGTCATTCGTACTGGATCAATATTCTTTGGTGGAGAGTACATAGTCATTGTTAATCAACATACATTTGGATCGCGTCTGTACACAGGCACAGTGTCTTTCCCATCAACCGTATCGTACGGGCAGGCTCTATTTCAAGCCTTTGAGGCTGACCGAAGTAGATAACACCTGTGAGCCAGCATTTACCGGCCAACCTTCTTGATACATTTGCGTAGAGGTGAGCAAATGGGTAGAACCAGTTACACAGGTGCCCGTCTATCCAGAAAAGAAACGAAGCCAACAAGTGCTATATATTAACTAGCAGTAGTACGTATTAATCCTGTGTGCTGGTGGACAATGAAACCCTTCTGAGACGGGATAAATGATGCTTATGTTTATTTCTTCTCACACTACCTTTTGGGAGCTTCGAGGAAGTATCGGGACGCGAAGAACCAGTGTCAGGATGTTGACTAATTAATTCTTTCGTACTTTCCCCTTTCGTTGTACGAATACTTACTTTGGATGGCGATTAATAGTCATTGAGTGTAGCTGATATGATTGAAGATTATTGATAGCTAGGTGTACATAGGCGTTGATAATAATCCAATAATATGTATGGATTAGCATTTGTTGGGAAAGTGAGGACATATATTATGCATGTTGCTACGGATAGTAATCGCACTATGTCTGCATTGAATATGTTTGTTTTTGTTTGTAGATACTAGTTACTAGTAGTCTACTATGGACGGTAAGTTGGAGAAACAAACAACTTATGAATGATAGTAGAACATGTGGGACTAAAACAGGGCTCGGTGTGTATTGAATATAGCAGGGAGTTGAGAACTAGTAAAAGTAGCTGCTTGATGAGTATATTGAATGACATGATACTCCTACCTCGGTCTAGTTCTCGGTGAAACTTGTTGCTCAGCTACTCATTCCAGTCTTGGGGGAAGTTCCCTCCTGATCGCGTGAGGACAGCAATTCGGAGAAGAACTGCACAGGTCGGAGCAAGGCCGAGGCCGAGACCTGGAAATGCCAGGTGGAGTGGCGCCGTGTTTTCTCTCGGAGAAATTTTGGTCCCGTGCCTTTTCCCCCCTTGGTGCCTTAGGCTAAAGGCCATGCTTAGGGATATTTCGGTACAACCTTCCTCTCCGGGTTTCGTCTACGAATGTTGTTCAATTCGTGTGCCTTTCAGGCGCACAGAACCTGCGGCTCCCCGTACGCCTTGACGATTTTGCTGAGCCACAGTGGAAACAAGCCTCCCCGGGTTCTCCAGGTTTGGGCTCGTTTAGTTGGGGGATAGACTCGCCCATGAGTATGGGGAAGGTCTAATCCTTAGGTAAGATGAATAGACTATCAACTCATAGTTTACCTAGTTTCTCCTGCTTGTCCCGGGTCCCCACCGAGCCGGAGACGCTTCTCGTGGAAGCAGCTCATCTCATTCGCGGGTGACCCAAACATATCGGCCCGAGACGGGGAGAAAGACTCCAATTCTGTGTGTCAGACGGCGATGTCATGTGAAGCCCGGAAGCCTTGCATTACTACACAGTATCACTCGTCTGATGTGCGGCTGCTGTTCACCTGGAAACCCAAATCCGGTCTGAACCCCTCAGCTGTACGTTGATGGCGTTCCGAGATCGGGTCGCAGGCCGCGTCTTGGTGGCAGATGAACTCCGATAGAGGGGTTCGCATATCCCAAGTTGCTATGGGCTCGCTACTCTCACTGAAGAATTGAGATGCATCTTGACCACCCTACTCCGTTAGATAACGGGCTCGCTACTCTTGGGAGGGAAGTTGGGGGAGTGCTTCAGATCCTGGTTGTCTGGCCTAAAGGGAGCCCAGTGGTTGGTTATCATATAATCGAAGGTGGCCAAAGTTCCGGAGTTACCGTGGCACGCCGAGAGAAGTTGGTTGTCCATGGCGAAATCCGTGATCCGTGAGGGGGCGTGGATCGAGGGTGTGTCCCTTGGGTCAGCGTGGCTTTCCATTGTTTCGGGAGAACTAGGTTTCGGACAGGAGAATTTTCTTTAAAAAAGTTTGATTCATATGAAGTTGGTACCTCATGATAGATATGTATTCAATCTGGCAAATTATCAGCCATGAAGGCATGTATATGAATTGCCTTGTGAGGGGAGTGAGGGTCTTGCGTGCGGAGTTAAATAAGAAAGGAAGCCGCGCTTGACCAGGGTTCGGGGCCAACTCCAATGCATAAGGCCATAAGCATAAGGAAAAGGCCTCACCGGAGCGGTTAATTAGATAACAACATGCATGCCAGCCAGGGGCGGTGAGATCGCCCCATGTTGCTGGTTGATTCGCCCTCAGCCCCAAGGTCAGTAGGCAAATAGAAAAAAAAAAAACAAATTTGAAAAAGACACTTTTTATCCGATTGTCCAGGTGAGGCTTGTGCTGATGAATGTGAAAAAAAGGTCACAAAATTGGAAAAAATAAAAAAAAGCAAAACGAAAAAATTAGTTAAAACCACAAATAGTTAATTAAAATCTTGTAAAAGTCAGGATCTTTGCCTTTCTTGACTGCTGGGCCCCATTTTTTTTTTCTACGCAGCTCCCAGCTGTCAGTGTATGATTCACTCTGCCCACCCCCGGGAATTAAAATATTATTATTGATCGATCGATTATCGCTCAGGCGCAAAGCGCTTTCGCTCCCCCGTTATTTTTGTCTTAATCCCCCTGCTCCACTCCCTCGTCTTATCCCCAACCCCTTCTTATTCCCGGTCCTCCCCTCGCTTGCTTGAATTGCGTGGTTTCCTTTCCGTTCTTTTTGTCGCTCCGTTGGGTTTCCTTGGAATTGCATCTGTCATCTTTGGCGTTTGTTCATAGATTGCTGTATTTTTCACCATGGCTAGTGTGAAGGACGCAGTCAAGGAATCCCTGGTGGGCACCTCCCAGGAGCCCCAGCCATCGCAGCAGATCAAAAGCAATTTCCTGCGCCATGCACGCAAAGATGAGGAGACGGGAGAGCTCTACATGAGCCAGGAGGATTTCGTGAATGCTATTGCTCCCAAGTATGAAGACTACGTGAGTCACCCTGATCCTTGCCGTTCATCCCCCGGATTGTGCTGTATGTGTCATACGATTCGCAAGGGTTCCTGCTTGGCTAATGCATGTCGGTACTCTCTTGACAATAGCATAAAATCAAACGCGAGCACTATGGTGTTCTCTTTATGGTCGCCGACAGACGCAGATCTGGCAAAGTCAGCCTTGCCGACTGGGCAACTTTCGAGAACCTCCTGGACAAACCCGACGCAGAATACGAGATCGCTTTTAGATTGTTCGACACGGAAGGGACGGGCACCGTGAAATGGGATACTTTCAAGGAAGTGTGCAATCTGAGCAAGAGCAGCGAAAGCATTCCATTCGATTGGAACTCAGAATGGGCTTCCCTCTACACCGGAAAGACCAAGCACCGACACGACATGACATACCCTCAATTCTCTCAGATGCTTCGCGGCTTGCAGGGAGAACGTATTAGGCAAGCTTTCCACGCTTTCGACAAGGACGGTGATGGCTACATCGAGCCCGAAGACTTCCAGCGCATCATTCTCGAGACCTCGAAGCACAAGCTGTCCGACTATGTCTTGGAAAACCTTCCCAGTCTGTGCAACATCTCTGCCGGTACCAAGATCTCCTATGCCACCGTCCGTGCTTTCCAGAACATTATGCGTGAGATGGATATCATTGATGTTATTGTGCGTGAGGCGGCCCAGCACAGCGACGATGGCAAGATCACGCGTGCGGATTTCTTGAATGCTGCTGCTCGTGTTACCCGGTTCTCCCTTTTCACTCCTATGGAGGCCGACATCCTTTTCCACTTCGCTGGATTGGATGCTCCCTCTGGGAGACTTTCGCAGAAGGATTTCGCCAAGGTCATTGACGCATCGTGGCGCATGCCCCTCGCAGTTGCTGGACAGGCTGCGTCGGATAAGGCGCACCAGGTTGCTGAGAAGTCCAAGTCGGTGCTGTACAGTGTGTTGGAATCCGTCCACCATTTCGCCCTGGGCAGTCTTGCAGGTGCTTTCGGAGCCTTCATGGTGTACCCCATTGATCTTGTGAAGACCCGTATGCAGAACCAGCGCTCAACTCGCGTCGGAGAGAGACTGTACAACAACTCGCTGGATTGCTTCAGGAAAGTGATCCGGAACGAGGGTTTTACCGGCTTGTACTCTGGTGTCATCCCTCAATTGATTGGTGTCGCCCCCGAGAAGGCTATCAAGCTCACTGTGAACGACCTTGTGCGTGGGCATTTCACCAACAAGGAGAATGGAAAGATCTGGACTGGTCATGAGATCTTGGCCGGTGGTACTGCAGGAGCTTGTCAAGTTGTAAGTTATTCTGACAGAAGTCTAGCTTCATCGAAGAGGGTCAAAATGCTAACTGCAAGTCTTTCAGATCTTCACCAACCCTCTGGAGATTGTCAAGATTCGTCTCCAAGTCCAGGGTGAGATCGCCAAGTCTGTTGAGGGTGCTCCTCGCCGCTCTGCACTCTGGATCGTCAAGAACCTGGGTTTGATGGGTCTGTACAAGGGAGCAAGTGCCTGTCTGCTTCGTGATGGTAAGTGATTTGCGCCCCGTTATCCAGTTGCTTGTGCCCATCTAATGAATCACCAACCAGTCCCGTTCTCCGCCATCTACTTCCCTACCTATGCGCACCTCAAGTCCGACTTCTTCGGCGAGTCGCCCACGCACAAGCTCGGCGTCGTGCAATTGCTCACCGCAGGTGCTATTGCCGGTATGCCCGCAGCTTACCTTACTACCCCGTGCGACGTGATCAAGACCCGTCTGCAGGTCGAAGCTCGCAAGGGTGAGATTAAGTACACCGGACTGCGTCACTGCGCGGCCACTGTTTGGAGGGACGAAGGATTTAAGGCTTTCTTCAAGGGAGGCCCAGCTCGTATCATTCGTTCATCCCCACAGTTCGGTTTCACACTTGCCGCCTATGAGATCCTGCAGAAGATGCTTCCCATGCCCGGGTCTCAACCCGAAGTTACCCCGGCTGGACAAATCGAACCTGGCGTCGGCCTGCAGACCGCCAAGGCTCCTCTGCCCTACCTCAGATCCAGGAACGCTCTCAAACTGATCCTGGATCTGGATCAGAACATTGGCCGCGTTCCGATCCCCTCGGCAGACCGTTGGCCTAAATTCCTTCAGCAGTCCAAACAATAGATAAGCATCTTCATGTTTTCATAGCGACGAATCGGTTTCTGTATCCTTTTGTTTCTTTTGTTTAAATGGAAATATCTTCTTTTGTCATACTACCCAACTTGTTTTCCTTGGTTCTTAGATTTCTGGCTTGGAGCAAAGACTTCCCTGTGACCTCCGTTTCTATGTACTACACAGACGCGATTTCCATTTGCACATGTACCAAAAGCAGATAGAAGTTCAGGATGAACAGTTGTGATCCGTTTCATTTCAAGCCTGATTCAAGCTGTTCCGGGCAATCCCTGGTTTAATATATATTCTTGCAGATATTGATCCAGATATCCAGAACAAGGACGCTACATGCTGCTGTACCAGCACTGTTAATTAATGAATGTCGTTAGTACATGGTCCATTCAAGTTTTGTCTTTTATACTACTGCAGGACTTCTACATCGCCCCCACATTGTGCGTTTTTGCTCAATTTCGTGAAATTGTGGTCAAGATTGTTATCGACTTTTCATTGTATAATGGCTTATATTACAGATGTATGACCTGTCCGGAATGCTTCCCACGAATAATACATTATTTGGGATACATGTGAATGCTATGTGGGTATCAATTGAAGAGTAGGAGAGGGAGCAAGGCGTATTTGTGCAAAAGTCAAATCAGATGATGGCCACGCTCAAGCAGACGAGGACTATGTCTAGCCAGTATGCTGTTAGAGGTTGTTGGTTCCTCTGCGGTACTTCGGTTCAAGAAATGAATGAGGACCATATTCTGAACAGTTTTTGTATCTCCGACAGTAACCACCTATGGAGCCTCGCCTGGGCGTATATGCACAGTTCATCCTCATCATCCGGAATAGCATCTTGATAGTAGCATTGGGTGCAACCTCATTATGGCGATGCTAACCATCAATAGACGCACATCTGCTTAGAAGAAATTGAGCTTCTTCTTAGACGGGCTATCGGCAGGTAGACCTTGATCCCGAGGTCCCTCAGCAGGTACAGCAGGCTCTTTAATAATTGACTTCATTATCGATTGTTTTGGCTCCTCGACCTGCTCTTGCTGAGCTTCCGATGCGGCCGCCTTGCGATGCCATAATGAATCTTCCGCTTCGATCTCACGGAGTACTATATCAAAGAAGAGCCCCATGTCAGTAAAAGCAGATTTCCAAGTATGGTAGAACGGTAAAGTAAGAGCGAGCAAGCACCAACCTTCCTCCCATTCTCTTTCCTTCGCCTCATCTCCCGTGCCCAACAATTTCTCCACATCGACCTTCTCCCCATTGTTCACCTTTTCTATCACCTCTCGGAGGAGCCTAATCTTCGCATCTGTCGATCGCGTGTACGCCGCATAGTCATTCTTCAATGCGATCATCCGGATGGCCTGAGATCCGATCAGGATGAAGATGATGATGTAGAAACTTGCGGGGTTCCATTCCTTGGATTTTGGCTTATACGGCTTGGTTTCTTTAGCGCCGCGGTTCCGGATGAACTTGGGGATCATGGATGTCCATATTGACGTTTGAGCGAATCTGGGTATCGATCTGGAAGAAGTGGACTGTAGCCGATAATGTAATTGAGTTGTTGGGATGTGGAAAGCGCCGGCAGGTCGGAGGGCCGGGACCGCTTGGGCCAGATGCCGGAGGGAAGGTCGTGCTGAATTCATGATGAAGAGGTTCATCCTGGGGACTGTGTCGAATTGCGACGTCGAGATGCTCTCAAAGCTGCCTCACTGGGGTGTCTGTACACTTGCTGTGGCACACAATTATCTGCCGCAGTT